GCTCTTGAGGAGGCGCTGCGCGATGCAGGCCTCCCACGCCGAGCCTCCCAAACACATCGTGCGCAGCGTTTGCACTCGGACCTGGACTCGCTGTCAAGCCAGACGTATTAACGGTGCATTCCAAAAAAAAACAGACGACTTTGCTGCATGGCCGTTATATCACAGCAGGTGAGTGCCACAAGTGTCAGGCCCGCGTCACAAAATATTCAGGTGTCCATGCATGCGAAACCGCGCCTGCGCCCTTCCCAGGACACGTTCGAATATGTGGATCTATACAGGACCGCCAGAACCCTTCTCAAGTCGTACGCCTTGCCTCCGGTCCTCCATGTTTGCATTTTTCAAGGCCGGGAGCGCTCTGCGGGAGGAGCCCTAGAATAAGGAAGAACCACGCGGTCTTTCGAAAGGTCTATAGGAATAACAAAACCACGGGTTGGGCCAAGACCGCGCGGGAGCTCCTTTGCTCCGACATCTGGAGGTGTTGTCCACGACATCAGAGTTCACGGCATTTCTTGCCTCGCCTGCGCCTCGCGGCGTTCGTGGGCCTCTTGACCACGACCCCACATTGGTTTGTTGGTTGGAAGCTTGATGTAATATGATTCAAACTGCGGCTCCCGAAAACGAGCATCACGAGTTCTTGTTTACGGTATAGTGTGATTCCAGGGGTGCGGGATCGCCTATCATTTTGTGGGTCGTTGCACCGGTTCCCCCTCCCTGATCTGTATTTGTGGCCGCCACGTTCCTCCGTCAGCTCGCACATTACAAAGCACGCTCGAGAGTTGCTGCCATCGCGGCTTGAGACATCCGGTGGTCCGGGCTTTTGTCCCTCGCTGCTGCAAGCTTGCTACCGCTCCCACTCACCGGCACCGCGAATGTCGACTACATCGCCCGTTGCTCGGTGCCCAGCGGCAACAACCCCGCAATGCCGGCCCGGCCGAGTGGCCGCATGGCTGTGGCAGCTTCACATGACGTGGACTCGAAACCGCTTCTATGGCGGCTGCCGGCTCTGCAGCTAGCATCTCGGGAGCATCTTACGCTCACAGTGTCGGGAACACACTTTTGCCTGGCTATCGGCAGTGCCCACCGAACCAGCACGAATTTTCGCTCCGCCAGACATGCGCACTGCGGTGCTGCTTGTGCTGAGCCTTGCCTTCTAGCCCGGCCCCGGCTGCGGGCAGCAAATGGACGAGCACGGGGACCACGCCCTCACCACTCGCATCCACAGCCGGGAGCTGCTGAGATGGGCCGTGCTCAGGGTCGCTGAGCGCTGGAAGCGGTCCACGTTCCCGGAGAAATGCAGCGGAGGACCTCAGGCGCTGGAAGGGCCAGGCTGGCCGCTTCGTGAACGGACCTGGGCTTCGGGATGTTGTTGTATTCAGGCTGTTTTGGCATTCGCTGTATGCGAGGCCAACATTCCGACCATGGCAGTCGTGTACGTTTTTCACCGCACGATCTCAATCCGCTTCTCGTTGTCTTATACGGTCATACCTGCCGGCGGCTAACGCGCCTCCTTTTGGAGTGCCCCAGAGCCGACAGCTCGCAGTCGACACAGGTCGAGATCGCACACGGGTGTTCTTCGTTCGAGCACAGCCGCCGCTCGTGCTCCCGGGAGCGCACCAACTCTGAACTTCGGGAGTGGGCTCGCTGTTTACGCTTGTTTACGCGAGCCCGGTGGCCGTTCTGCGCCGCCGCCCTTGCCTCTTCCGACGGACCCAGTATTTCTCTTGTTCCTGGCCCCCTGGGCCTTCCGCACCAGCGTTCCGCCTGACTTTGTTGTTTTTCGCTAGGAGGGTTGCATGCGCCCGATCGGGGACATTAAGATTTGGGGTTGATGCCGACTTTCCCAACAAACGTGCTTCCACTCAGGGCAAGGGTCTTGTCAATCAATATACGACGTGTTTGCCACTGATCTTGTGCCACACAGTGTCGTGTCTTCGTAGTGTTTGTTCAAGTTGTGCGCAAATTCCAGGGGACCCGGCGCTGGGCAATTCTTATATTCATTAAGATGCGCCATCGGCATCCGCCAAGCCGCCACGTCAGCACCATCGAAAAAGTACGTCGGCTGCAGAGGCAAATCGTGCATGTCCTAAGTTTGGGGCACTCTGGAAGGGCTGGGGCGAGGCGATGTGATGTCATGTGCTGTCCGGGTGCGATTGACTTTTGTTCGATTTGTCGCCTCTCAGCGGAGAAACTCATTTCGGTGTCAGTGTCAGGTGTCGCTTGGGTTGCTGTAGGCAGAAGTTTGGATTTGTATTGTTTTTTTGATGTTTTTTTGTATACCTATGATATGTCATACAACATTGTAATTTGGGCACTGTATGTCAATGCCATCTGTATGTGTTGCGAGGCGCGGCTTTCGTTTGCGGCGCCGCTGTGGAAGCCGCGCAAGCCATTGCTCGTGGGAGATCCCAGTATCACGGCTATATATCGTTATGTCCAACTTCGGGCGATGCACGTGATCTGTGGAAGTGGCCGTTCTCGATGGTTGCCGGCGTTGCATCCCGGTTGTCGCCGCAGATGCTCAAAGGATCGCAACGCACGAGGGTGGAGTTGCAGAGCATGTGGCAAGAAACCATTGGGCGATCCTTCCCGCATGCAGCTGCAAGTTTTGCTTCAGCCGGCATGCTGCGGAACGACACGGCCACACCCATCATTGCAGTGCTTGGGACGAACACATGATGACATTGACTGTTAGTTATGCAGTTGTGGAATGGTTCGTTTTTTTTGTGTAGCTGTAGCTCTTTGTGCTGCGGTTTTGGATTCGTAACAACATGTATTGGCATGTGACCATGCAGGTATGGCCCGTCTACTATGGTGGATCTCCGGGTGCGATGATGCAAGAGCTTCATCTGATTCGGTTGTGGAGCGAGCAAAGTCACCGTTCCACAAAATTGACTGGGGTGGCTTCAGCTTCCCTCGTCGTCATGGACGTTGTCAGCTTGAAGTGCAAAGGCCATCTGCAAAACTGGTTTTCCCAGGGGTTTCCACACCACACCGTTGGAAACCGTTGGGCGCAACATGAGACTAACATATATTTAGGATATTTAGGCAACGCGGCGAACATGGTAAGGAACGCTTGTCAGGCCAGTGGTCCCGTGCTGCAAAGGCTTTGGGCGGGCCGGAAGTTGCTTGGTGTTGCAATCTATGTGAAACATGAGACAGCCCTATGCCCGCTTGTCTTGGACATCGAAAACCGCGGGTAGAACGGCAATTTGCTACAAAGCTGGACAGAAACTCTAGCTGCGGCATAAGCAGCAGGCGGATACTTTCAACATGGGAGCCCTTGAGGAACAGTGAACGGCGGCACATCCCGCGGAAGCGTGTGTTATCACCTTTGCCGTACTTGAACCACCGATTCCATGACGGCAACGTTCGTGGACGAAGCCTTTTGGTCCCAAAGTCCTGTTGCCTAGGTGCTATCGACATCAAGCTGCACTCAGAGCATCGCAGCTGTTCACACGGCAAGTGCAGAAGCGCCATTGCCGCTGCTGCTTGTCGACTTTCGTGCTCTTTTAAGTTGGAGACCACAGGAGTTCTATGATCCAGTGGCCTTGAAAGCAGAGGTTTCTTGTTCGAAATGATCGTGTAATCGCGATAATTACCTGGCAGCAAACAGGGCAAGACATTAGAAACATACCGGAGTCCTGGAGAAGAGGTTCTGAGATTCTTGGAATACAGATATCCCCTTATAGGTATCCTTGATAGTATCCCGTAAAGACACTCTTTTAATAATTATCCATGTTGTTACTTGCATTCGCTCAGTCCTCCAAGGCTGCTCGTTGGGCGAGCCGACGTGTCTGTCCAAGTCGACGATGCCAGTTTCCTGGAGTCTTCGTCGGCATTCACTGCAACATTGAAAATCATCATGCCGTCAATACCTGGTAGAGTATGCTACCGACCTCAGACACTGCATCCAGGTACATGTGACATCATTTTCTCTGCAATGTCGATTTGCCGACGATGGAAAGAGGTGAACAGATAGAAACAGGTGGCCATCAGATCCTCAGATGGCTTCTAGACAGTCTTCACGAGCTAGCACATTTCATCCCCCTTGGTTTGTGCTTATAGTCAGTGCGGGTCTGAAGTTTGTTACCAGCTTGTAGTTGTGCCAGAACCAAATAACCCTAACTCCCTTTCCTACCCCCCCCAACCCTACGACCTGCACCTCAAACCTCCCGGAACGGAATTACGCCACAAGGCTTCCATGTCCCAAGCCTGGCGCGACCTGGCCCTGCACCCCCCCGCGGCGGCTTCGCCGCAGCCGGTTGCCATGGCGGCCTTCGGATCTTGGGACCAAAATCAGACACGCGGGATGCTTTAAGGGTTCCTTAAACGGATCCAAAAGGGGTTCTATAAAGGGGTGAGGGTTCAGGGTTTTGGAGTTACCGAAAATTGGGGGATACTTCATTTTGCCTTTACTTTTCCCGTGTGTTTTTTTCTGAGATGCGGAGGGTTGTTTTGGGCAGCGACGCAATGCGAAACATGTTAGATACAGTAGATGAGGTTGCGGTCCTCCGGATAATGGCCCAGTACCCTTAAAAGGCTATAATTCCACATGCATGGTCCAAGTAGTAGGTACGTCCGAACTCGAAGCCCAGGATCTTGGTGGCCAGCTTTGCAGCTCTTGTTTGCGGCATCTCGTCCTTCCAAGTCGCAGCCGGCGTGAAAGTTCCCAGAGACTCCAATATCCCCTAATTAAGGAATAAGAATATTCCATAAATCATACAAGGAATCCTACTATAATTTAAGGTATATTCCTTAATTAATCAAGGGATATTGGAGTCTCTGGGTTCGTGGCGAGAAGGCAGCAAAGCTTTCAGACAGAGCGACGTAGCCGGACTATTCGGATGTATGGGCTGCTGGAATTTGCTCGACATGTTTCCGAGAAGCAGGGAGCATGCAGCTAGCAAAAGCAAACCTGAGACCGTTTCGTTACGGTTCTGTTTGCCCTGAACTTGAAGATGTTATCCATTGCTCTCCTCTTCCTTCGGAGCCCCTCCGGAGCTCTTCCCCGCGAATCCAAGCCCAGGAAGCTGGGGCCCTCGTGGCGTGCGAGTATGGCACGAGTGACCTGGTATGCAAGGTCTGGCATAGTGAAATCCAAGTGAAGCGGATGATATTGTCGACCGCTGATACTACTAGCAACAATCATTTAGTAATCATGAAAAACCACAATAATACTGCTGATGTAAAGCAAGTTTAAGAAGAGTTATCTTGGTATCAAAGCAGCCTCAGGTCGTCTTTGAATCTGATCCCCCAAACACCATGAGCCCTGTAGGGTATGCAGAAAATCTACGGATGTTTTTGCACTAGAGTTTAAGAACCATATGCCGATCGAAGTTGAACCGCATAGAAAAAACCGCGGCGGCCCTTGAGTGAGAGTCGAACCCCTCAACAACGAACTTCAAACACAAGACCTAGAGCCACGAAAACCCTGCTACATCGTCAGAAATCGGTGGCAGTAGCACTGAGGTACTGAGAGCTGTCTCTGGGCCACCATTGCGCGATCGACTGCGGAGTTGCGCCCATGGGAGGATTTTGTTGGCACAGGCCTCAGTTGTCACTGCATTCGGCATTGTAGGTTTTTCCATGCAGAACTCTTGAAGCCTGATCCCAATCCCGATCATTACCAATATTATTGTGGGGGGGTCGTTTATAATTATAGTGTAACGGGCCCCAAAACCCCATCTTACATTAGCCCCTTCGATGATAGGAGCGCAAAAAAAATTGCAGCAACGTGGAGTTCTGTCGTGTTGCCTCAGGATCCGACTCCACTTCGCTAATGTCTGCCACGATGCTGTTGGGATGGCTGGCCCAAGAGTTCCTGGGCAACTTACGTATGCCTGTACAGTATATATATATATATATACGAGACAACTATGCATATATATATATATATATATATATATGTACACATACACATGCAGAACAGCATGTGCGCATGTTCATAGGCATGTAGGCATGTATTCAAAACGTTTCCCGCACATGGTAGTGGATCTGGCTTTGTGTTTACTCCTGTACTTACCCGTTCATTTCGTGTGCGAATGTACGCGCTTGGTGCTCAGTTTCTGATGTTCGCTTATGTGTGTGGGTGTTTGCAGACCAGCTGACATTTTACTATATATATATATATATATACATACATCTATAACTATAAATATAGTGCTTGAAAGGTCAACCGGTTCGTCTCTCGACTACATGGCTTCGTTGCTTGCACTGTTGTTTTTTGGTCTGTTCATGTCTGTTCCAACAGGCAGCTTCGTTTTCTTCGTGGCCTGTTTGCAGCTTCAACTTCTTGATGTGTTGCATGCCTGTTGCAAGTGAGGGTGTGCAGACGTCGGCGATTGGGTACTGTTGCAGGTTTTACGATGTTGCTTTTTGGGTTGCCCAACGCACGATCTGTGCCATCTATCACACTACATTGCCGTAAACGGTCCGTCTGTGTGCTGTTGTCGCTGTTCTCGCTGTTGTTGCCGTGTTGTTGCTACTGCTGCTGGCCGCTGTTGTTGCTCGGCTTTCGGGGGAGAGCGGCATCGGCATTCTGCTTGCTAGATGAAAGGGAGTTTGCATGTGTCTTGTCGCTTTATGCAAGACCTCCATATCTCCAGTTCCAGCAGGTTAGATGCCCTGGTCATAGTCGTCGTCGTTGTTTTAGCTGTGGTAGCCAGTAACCTTGATATTTTTGGGTTGCACCTGGTCCATGTCCCTGTATTTGGCTAGTGACTTAGCATGAACCTGATTGCCGGTGAGCAATGACGCCAGCGCCGTGCCCTTTGAGGTGCACAGACCACATCCGAAAAACCTCAGAGAAGAAATCCTTGAAGCTCTAAGCCTCAAAAAATCTGAGGCAGGTCGTGTTTTGCGAAGACTGGGAAGACGAAGAAACGGGCGCTACAAAGTGCGCCTGCGGGCCTCCGGTGCCTGCCGACGGGTCGAAGTCTGATCTACTGTGCGGGGCTTAGGAGCTGCATGTGCGGGTTGCAACAAAGCTTATGAAGCCTCGAACGGAGGGAGTTTGTTTATATCATAATTATCTTTTGGAGGAATGCAGGGGCAGTTGGGGTGCAGGAATTCAGGATGTAGGATGTTGGAGCGGCTTATCGTTTGGTCTTGGAGACTTGTGTCCAAAGTCGTTGAAAAACCTGTCAGTCTGAGAGATGCACACTGCAGATCCAGGGACCCCCAAACCGTAGCCCAAACCTACACCCCATCCCCCCGCCCTATGCCGATTTCGGAGTTCTGCAGTGATTCCTGAACCCAGAATAAAACCCTAAACCCCTAAACCCGAAACCCTAAACCCCTATACCCGAAACCCTAAACCCCTATAAACCCTATCCCCCTAAACCCCTAAACCCTAGTATGTACGACCAGGAATGGTCGGCTCATGCCGGCGGCCCCCACAGCAGCGAGGAAGCTTCTGCATCTCCTGGCGGAGATCATCTTAGCAGGCCGGGGCCGCTGTAAGGATGAACACTACCTTAACCCTGAAGAACCTACCTTTTTAGGGTTCCTCATTATGATTTCCTTTTATAAGTCCTTAAAAGGGTAGGTTATTCCGGGTTAGGGTTTAGGGTTAAGGAGGGGTAGGAGACGTAGAATCTCAGGGTGAGAGTTGGTTTAATTAGAGTTTGCGCATGAAGCTTTAGAAGCTTAGAGTTTAAGTTGAGAGGTCACGCTGTCGCTTTGGAGTTCAGAAGGTTCAGCATCGATCTCGGACGAAGTTGTTGCATTTTGATGGTCTTCAGCCCTAACCCAACCATCCATGAACCCTTCCTTCCCAGCTCCAGGTGATGCAGCTAACGTGCAGCCGCTGGGCGAAATTCCGCCGAGAGAGAGAGAGAGAGAGAGTTATGGGGCTTGAGGTCAAACCTTCAATCCATAACCCAGCTTTCTCAACTAAACCCTCAACCTGAAAGCCCAGACACCAAAACTCTGTCAGCCGGGTGGGTGAGCAAAGACACCAAAATTGGCTTCTGAGGAAGCTCTACACTGCCGTGATGGCGAATGAGGACCATGGTGATAGCAGGGTTGCAAAAGTTATCGACCCCTGACTGTCCTCAGTTTGTTTTGCTTTACCTGGACCCCCAAAGTATATAGAAAAACAGCTATTTATGGGGGGTATTGGGCCATTTGGGGGTTTAGGTCAACCCCACCCAGAGACTCCAATATTGCTTCATGAATCATGAAGCGTCCGATATTAATTAAGGACTCATGCTCTAATTCAGCATGTTGGAGTCTTCGGGAACGTTAAGCTCCGAGCAATCATCTTGAGAAGACGATGGCAGGACTGGCAGGTCTTGTACAGCTGCGCTTCACAAGCTTCGAGCCCACAACGCCTCTCGGTTTCACCACTCTGTTTACAAGAGTTATTTGCAATACTGATGAGATTAGCAAAGATAAGAAGCGCTGATGCGCCGGTGGTGGGTACCGTAGTTGTAACCAGCAGCAGCACGAGCAGGAAGCAGGTCGCATTGCTAGCGCTCCGAAGGCACCACGTGTTCGGATGACCAAAGATACAGAACACGAAACTCGTTTCACAGGCACTGCCCATACACAGAAGTGCCTCTTTTCGTCTAAGTCTGCATACCTTCCAGGTCAGCATTTTGGAAAGTAGAAGCTGCCATAGCCCTGCGCCGTCAACCCCGCCTCAGACGGACCGGAATAAGTAGAAATATTTGTGTAGGATGCCTTGGGTATTCATAGTCCAAGGCCCCCTCAAAAAACATGCAATCGAACGCTTCAAGCACCTACATCAAATGGCAAGGATACCCCCGAAACCCGATGTAAACCCAAGACCCTAAACCCTAATGTAGTGGAGCCTTACCTGCCTTGTGCGAGTGCGAGCGTCGAAACCCTGATGTAAAAATTCCATTAAGTGGCAAGGTTATCCCCTAAACCCTATATAAACCCAAGACCCTAAACCCTAAACCCTACATGCAAGAATTCCAGTAAGTGGCAAGGTTGCCCCCTAAACCCGATATATAAACCCAAGACCCTGAACCCTAAACCCTACATGCAAGAATTCCAGTAAGTGGCAAGGTTACCCCCTAAACCCGCTATATAAACCCAAGACCCTAAACCCTAAACCCTACATGCAAGAATTCCATTAAGTGGCAAGGTTGCCCCTAAACCCGATATATAAACCCAAGACCCTAAACCCTAAACCCTACATGCAAGATTTCCATTAAGTAGAAAAGGTTACCTGATATTGGACCGTGGCAACATGGAGTTGCCTGCGAGCGCACGGCAGCGCCTGGATTCTCGGGCGGCACCCTTTATGGATTAGGGTTTGTGGGGTGAAGGGGTTCAGGGATGAGGGTTTGTAGGGTTAAGGGGTTTAGGGATTATACGGTTTATAGGGTTAAGGGGTTTAGGGATTAGGGGTTTAGCGTTTAGGGCTATAAACACCGGCTCAAGCTTAGGTTTTGCGGCGGCTTAGTGTTAGGTTTTGAGGAGTAGCTTTGGTTTGGGGGCATAGGTGTTGGGGCTTTGGACTTGCAGTCCTCCAGAAGATTTTGGACGGAGTAAGCGGAGTTAAGTGGGCCTACAAGCAGACTTAAGAAAAACACCAAATAGCACCAAGTTGGTAAATTCAATGATCTCTTACACAGGGTCGGGGCTGTGGGTATTCAGCACTGGGAGTTCATGAGAGATTCGTCAGAACTTCAGGAAAGACTGCCTTCTGTCTGAGGGATGGGCCATTCTAGGCAGCAGTAAGCGCTTTTTGAGGGCCACTCAAAAACTGAATCCGTCAAGCAGCTCGAGGCAGAGACACTGGAGCCGATTGCTGCCGACGAGCTCTTCGAAAGCTCTGAAGATCGGAGCTATCTTTCGCAGAGCGACATGCCCGTCGAAAGATCGACTGTAAAGCCTAACAGACAGTTAGGTTTAGGATTGAAGTGATATTATGAAGGGTTCTGCCTCTTGGGGCTTGTGAAAAAGGGATGTTCCCAAGACATCTTGCAAGCGACTTGATCTATGAGGTCGTTTGGAAAGTATCTAGAGTATGTATGAGGGGTCGTGCAGGCGTTGTGTAACCAACAAGTAAGCCACATCCCAAGCTTCTCGACCTCTCAGTCGGTTCTGCCACCGCAGAAAAACGGACAGCGACCATGACAGATTGCAGTCGCAGCATATCGGCTTCGAGTATTGGAGAATCTTGGAAGAGCCTTTGTGCTCCCTTCGATTTCCCTGCCATGCTGGACCTCATCACCATCCTCTCAGCCGTTGGCCTGCAACAGGAGCTCAAATCGGTCAACGGCGACAAGAGCTTGGTGATCCGCGAGGACACCGGTTGTGCCGACTTCTCGGAGAGTTGACGATTGAGAATTGCAGGTCGTTTAACACGCTTTGTCGGAACAACGTGCGTGAGAGAGTAGGTTTCATCACACCAACTTTTTGCCTCCCATGATATCTCATGTTGCGTTATTGAAGCTCTTGCGTCGTCTGCGCTGTCGCTGTGTGATGTTGATGCCCTGCAGTTCGACATGGTTCGTCACATACGCAAATCGGAACAACGGCATTCATTGACCCGGACGCGAGATACTATAGAAAACAGTATAGGTAATTATTAAGGTCCCTAGATTTTATCGGGGTATCTTATACTGTCGGTACCCTAAGGAACCCTTCCAAAATGTAGTACAGTGGTTCAGGTGCCTCGACTCCTCGGGAGCGATCACTCCCAGTTAGCTCTACTCTGAACTGGGGTTTGGGTGCATAGTCAAAGGAATGATAAAAGATGGTGGCAATAATACGAACAGCAGTATGATAATAACGATAAATCTGTTCTTCTTTTAGGGACTCCTGCACCGCGCTGAGGCAGGTTTCGGGGTGTGCTCCTGCTCCTGAAATCTTCTCCGTTCATACAGGGAGGCTCTTCTGATATTGCAAGGTCTGTATCAGGATCATAGTATCAGACTCGCTCGCTACCTCTCTCTCCCCTCCTTCTTTCCTACAGTCGTAGCTACTCATGAAAAGAGATCCCGACTTGACAGCAACCCCGCATGCGCATGAGGAGGAAGAGACGAGTTTCGTTGAGAGTGCCGCCGGGCATGTCTCCACGGCCCTTGAAACCTTCGATGATGCCGTGGCGCAGGGCTGGAGCGCCCCGGAGGTATGATCAAATAGTATGACTCCTGTAAAGAACTCTAATAAGGATCCAGGGTTTCTTAATCAGATTCCGGCAATTGGGATTTACGGTTCAAGTTTTGGGCTTCAGAGTTTTGGCGTTAGAGCGTTGGAGTGTAGTGTTGGGAGTTCCTGTTCTCGCCTCCCACATGGCACGCACTTTTGTTTGTATCCCTTCTCGCACTTTCCGTCCTGAATCAAAACACCGTATTACTTCAGGACATTTTCGGACATTTGGCAAATGCCAAACGGCACCCTAAACCTTAAACCCTCAACTGTGGCTATGAAACTTTGCTCTGTGCACCTATCGGGGGAGACCCAACTTCGGCTTCTGTTCTGCTGCAGATCCCTTTGCACTGGCTTCTGTCTATAGGGTTTTCTACCATGATTCTAAACGGCATTAAACGGCTTCTATTCTGTTGTGGTGTATGAGAGCCTTCTTTCTTATTCCTATCAAGCGCTATTTTATTGTTATGCAGAGGTACCTTGAACCCTTTCCCTCCTCGAAACTAACATGGCAGATTCTACACTTGACACCCCCGCCGACAGGACAGTCGTCTGTAATGCCTGTAAGGGAGCTTTGTCATCCAGGGCGTGTAGTTCTACAGCATTTCTTGTGTTCGGATCACCGAGCCAAGCTTAACAGTGTGAGCCTGTACACTTTTGCCGGAATACGATCTTGCGAAGGATGGACACTGGGATCCGCTAGAGTAGCAGCTGCAACGGGTAGGCTCTTCCTTGAAGTTTGTAGCCCCGAGATCCGAGCTCCAACTTCGCGACTGAATCCCCGCCCATGGGACCCCGCAACCCTGGGACCCCCCAAAACCGAAGGCCGTCAACCCTAAACTACCCCAAACACCCAACAGTGGAAACTGAACACCAAACCCCCAATCCCCTTTGGCCCCACTTGAAGGCGCCCTCTTCGGAAATTCTGAAAGCTCGGCGGAGATGCAACCACAGCCCAAGAAGGTGGATTGATGGTTTCCGTCTTCTGAGGAGACAGAAGCCAGAGGCCCCGCAGTGATCTAATGGCCGGGGTACTATGAGACATCTTGATGAAAGCGTCGTAAATACCTTTATTTTATCATGTTTGTGCCGTGACTTGGGTTCCTGCCATCATCCCAGCACAGATGGTTTCTCTCTGTCAATGTGCCAAGCCCAAGTAGGAACAAGGCGTACATGGGGATTCCGCAAACAAAGTAGAAGCGAAGAACCTGGACTGCGCTAAGCCCTCAACACTTCTCCCCTCTGAACCCTAGGCAACTGATATGTGAATGCCCAGTGCGCCTTTGGTACGGGCCGCCTGCAGCTACTACGCAAGCATCGAGCCAGAAAAGCTGTGCCGGAGACTTTCAGGAATCACCAATCGTTTTGGAGGAGAGGGTCTTAATCACTGGGCATCACGATCCGACATCCTCGGCTTGGTTTACAGCTACTGACAACCTTCCAGTCTTGTTATCCGCCGGAATCAGCATTTGTTGTTGTTTAGATGTCGCTTTTCTGTCGCAGTTTTCCGACGTCGGACTTCGATACCCTACAGACACAGGTTACCCCATGTTCGACGTGTTCCAGAACCAGGCCTTTACACGCGCAGGACCACCCAGCTTGCACAGACCCCTTCCAGTCTTCTTCCCGCCAATCCGGAGCAAGTCTTCGGAGCCGGACCTTTTGCATACAGGCTTCGCCGGTAGTACTGAATCTGCTTGATCTTTGGCTCAGGTGCTACATGATTTCGGGGCCATGAACCGCAAGTGTAGAGACTGAGCGCACATGACGCACATGTCAACACTTTGCGAGACCTGCAAAACGTAAGCTTGCACACCCGTAAACTCTGCCAAAGCAATAACGCAGAGCCCTACTAAAACCTGTGCAGCCCGAAACGCTATGAACACCGCAGACATCTCTAAGCGGTTAAAAGCTAACCCTGTAAAACCCCCCCATCGGACCACATACAACCTTGTATAAAAGGAAACCCCGAACCCCCAAACCCGGCTTGAAAAAGCCATGTCGGCTGGGAAACTTGAGAAGAAGCTGGAGCAGTTGGAGCGACGAAACTTGGACTGCTGAGGGTTTCGGGCTTCGGGGTTTGAGGGCTAGGGTTTTCGGGTTTGGGGTTTGGGGTTCGGGGTAGGAGTAGGAGCAGCCGCAGGAGGAGGAGTAGTAGTAGCAGTAGTGATTGTAAGTGTAGTTGTAGTAGTAGAGTAGTAGTAGTAGTAGTAGTAGTAGTAGTAGTAGTAGTCGTCGTCGCAGTCGTAGTCGTGATGGTGGTCGTAGTCGTAGTGGCAGTAGTTAGCAGGAGTAGTCGTAGTAGTGATCTGTAGTAGTAGTCGTAGCCGTAGCCGCAGCCGTAGTCGTAGTAATACTCGTAGTAGCAGCAGCAGTAGTAAAGTCGTCGTCGTAGCAGGCACCCCGCCACACCTACCGACAACACGTACATCTTAGGAGCACATCCATTTCACTCGGCACTTACAGTAATTTCGTAATGTCGGACCAGCTTGCGAAGCCTCAAAAATCGACTTGTCGTCTTTGCAAGCTCCAGTTTCGGATGTTGGAGTTGTTTTTCGGTGGGGGGAGACACCCCGAACAACACCTCCAAAACAGCCATTTTACTCGGTGTTTACAGTACTTTGGTGATGTCGGACCATCTTCTGTAGACTGTAGTCTCCTAATCTACTTCTGGACTTTCTGAACTCAACCTTCGGATTTCGGAGGGCCTTGGACGAAAACTCGAAATTGGGTGTGGGGAAGCTTTTTGGGATGTGGGGAAGCTGTTTGTGGGGTTGATGACGACACCGTTTCGACACCCCGATCAATATCCCCACACCCTACATAGTGCGGACGCGCGGCACACTACTTCCAGGCAAACCGTCCTGCCAAGGTTTGGGGCTTAGGGGTGTTGGCGAGCCCCTCCCACGTACAGCTGGCATCTTTGTTTTGAATGTGTATAAGATGTTGGGCTTCAGGCTTTAGGAGATAAAACTTTCTTAGCTGCTGACGATGATGATGGTGATTATTGTTGATGACGATCATGATGATGACGAAGTCTGCTCGGTAGTAGTAGTAGTAGCAGCAGTAGTAGTAGTAGTAGCAGCAGTAGCAGTAGCAGTAGCAGTAGCAGTAGCAGTAGTAGCAGTCGTGGTGGTGGTTGTAGGTCAAAGTAGTCAAAGTTTAAAGTTTAAGGTGTCAGGGTTTGGCCCTAGAGGCTGAGCTCTGCAGGGCTAGGAGTTGGGGATCCTCTGTCTGTGCTGTATGGCTATCTGAATGCCTGGTCAATTTCTTTTAATTCAACAAAGTCGCCATCTGCACAAACTATACCCTGACAATTTCTGACACCTAGCCGAATGTAGCAGCCGTAATGTCCCAAAACTCTAGAAGACCAACAGCAAATGAGCCCGATGTTTCGACAAGGCATGCGAGAGGAGATGCACGGCCAGCTTTCCTCGCTGCTGCTGCGCCTTCAAACGGTGGAGGAGAAAATGAGGAGCAAGTGGTGAAGAAGATGGAACTAGGGATTTATGGTTCAAGAAGAAGTCTTGCGAAAAGCCTACGTATACCTTGATCTCAGCACTTGAGAGGATCGAAATTGCAGCGCCTGTCAACGCCGAGCAAATCGACCCCTGGAATCGACCGGTCGTGCTTTTTGTTCTTCGGTTTAGCGGGGGCTCGGGTGGGGAGGGGGTGGGGTGATGGGGTTGGTGTCGGGGTTGCGGGTTTAGGGTTTGCTGCTGGAAGACTCACGGTTCATTCACGAGTAGTTGCAGCTCGAACCCTGAGCCGCTCAACAACAAAGTGCTGTAAGCTCTGTGAGACTACCCGAAGGCCCCAAAGTAGTTCCTTTTTTGCATTCGTATATAGAATCGTATAGGTAATCCCAAAAAGGAACTACTTTGGGGCTTATGGGTAGTCGGAACATAATAAGATTGGAAAGTATGTTAGGCCCAAGAGAAGGTTGCGCAGGGAATTGCTGCCGACCAACCGGGGTTGCTTTGAGTGCCTCAATTACTGATTACTGTTCACCGAATTTTGGAAAATATTCCAGAGACCATGTTAATTTATAGGGGTTTAGGGTTTAGGGTTAGATTTCGAGTCCAGTGGCAAAAAGGGTTCAATGTTAACTAGTTCAAACTGCGCCTGGCAGGACCATTTATCTGTAAGCTTTTTTGAATGAACACGGCTTCGTAGCGATGCATCAGCATTTCCCCGTCGAGGACGTCGCCCAGGATTTCGCCCTTCCAGGCCGTGGCATGGAGATGGGTCTTTTCTTGTAGGGATTCAGGGCTTACAGGTTTTGTTTTTTTTGGTGTTTGGGTACCATCTCCTGGCTCAATCGCAAGTGTTTTGGGGGTTGAGGTTGTCCAGACGCTGCCGGTTTGACACCCGGTGCCTGTCGACAAGACTGGCCGATTTGGCTTGCGGTCTGCATTCTCCGAGGTTTGGGGGTAGAATTGCCCAGGCTATGAGTGGGATCTTCTAGCTGCAGGGTTTGGGTTTACCTTAACCTTGAAGAACCTATTTTTTGAGGGTTCCTGATTATGATTTCCTTATATAAGTCCTTAAAAAAGTAAGTTATTCCGGGTTAAGGTAGGGTTTAAGGGAGCCATGTCTTGGACATATGATTGGCTTCAGGCATTGTGTGAGGTGCACAAAGCTTGCCGTCTAGTTGCGCCACTGATCTGCGAGCATCAGATCTTCAACCCTGAACCCCCAACACGCCGCACAAGCCTAATATGGCCTTTAAAAATTAGAATTTGGTTTTTGGGGCCCATTATACTATACTCTTACTAATAAGGAATCCTCAAAAATAGTAGCTTTTCTGCGGACTTCTTTGATCAGGGAGCGCGATGAGTGCCGTCGTCCCAAGCGCTGTGGTGGAAGCCAAGAGCCAGAAGGGCCAGTTGCCTGCCAGGACCTGACGGAAGCACCTAGTTCCCTTATTAAATCCCCTTATAGCAACCCTTATGGACCCCTTTCAAGGAACCCTATTCTAATTATTAAGGTAGAATAGAAGCTTGAACAATTACGACTTCTTTTTCCTAGGATTCTGACTATTGCTAGAATAGATACCCTAAACCTTTTGTTCAAGGTGTTACGACCCCTGCTTCACTTGCAGCCATGCGCGTAAAGATAGGCGCTTACACTCAGAACTTTCTTACATCCGAAACTCAATATCTCACACCCCACACTATCACACACCGTGGACCCTTAACCGCAGCTACAATGTGAGGAAGGACACCTTTCCGTAAGGTCCGGAAGTTCAGCTCATGTGCTACCAATCTAGCTCATAAGCAAGAACAGCCTGTGCTGTTGATCGTGTTCGTTTTGTGTTTGGGGCGAGCTGTGCTTTTGGGCGAGCATATATATATATATATGTATGTATATATACATATATAATATATATAGATCAGCATAGTCTTGAAAACCGGACCTGTGCTGGCACGCGGCGAGTAGCAATACAGCCACCAGTGGAACTCGAGACACTTACATCTATGGTCATCATCACGGCACAGGCTGTTCTTAATTCCTTCTTGTAGAACCCCGGTAGGGTTGTTCAAAGTTGTATATAATCATACACGCCTTGGAGGACACCTGTGTTCCAGCCGCGTATTGGCCAGATGGAGGCGTGAGGGTACCCTTGGGTTCGTGTAGCATGCGTTCTGCTCCGTATAGGGGCTCTGCTGATCTGTTTGTGCAACAACGGCCTTTTTTGCTTGATGCCTGTGTCATGATCCGACAAGAACACTACTGTCACAGGACTCCGCGGAATTGTGTTGCATCATGAACCCTCCTCCTTCGGCGGAAGTGTATTGTTGTTATGTTCAAACACACCCCCTCTAGCCTGGAGCTGCATCTCACGATCCCACAACTCTCCCCTGTCCACTTGCTGGTCCAAAACCGCAATGCGAAAGCTCAGCCACAGCGTATGCCATGTTCCCATATCATTTCGTCTCATAACATAACATGACCTTCCCTATCATTACACGCCATATTATGAATAACCATATGTCTGTATGTATGTAATTATGCATGTATTCCCGACGGCCCGAAACCAAAGACGATGCTTGTGAGGAGAGCGATGAAGACGATGAGCCCATCCCATTCGCGGAAACAGCTCCTCCGTCTTTCTTCTCCAGGTTCAGGTCTCCTGTAGTCAGGGTTTCGGATTGACTAGGGCTTACATAGGGCTTGGGATTTGGGATTCAGGGTTTTTGGCTTAATTAGGATCTAATTATTGCTTAGGGCTTACAGAGTGTAGAGTGTAGGCCCCAGACTGGCATGTACAAGTCTGTGCAAAGGGTTGCTGTACAAAGATCGCTTCAAGCAGTTCGCTCGCCTTCCCCCTCCAAAAACGCGGGTGCGAGGGCCTGGACACGTTTCCTCGGAGAGTTCACTTGCGTGAGCGTCCCCAAACGCACGGAGTCCACTCTCCATGCAAAGGTTTGGAACGTCGTTCTGGTCCTGGGCGCCTTGGCTCGCCGGCTGAGGGGTATGTAACCGCAAATGAATATGTGAAACGTTGATAGTAGCAAGAAGCACGGGTGACCGAAAACTAATGTGACGGCATGTCCTTGAAGGAGGAAGCGAGACTTGACTGTTGGAGAAGAAAATGAATGGCACAAGAAACAGCGAGTAGGACGCCTACGACGAAGTCACGGCCGCGGCCAGTACATACATACGCAAATACATGCATGCATGCATGTATATAGATATAGACACATAAATGTGTATATCTAGCATATATAGCAACACTAGACTGGTTAGCAATCGTTGCCTAGCAACAGCTCGCAGGTACAGCCACAACGGCAAGTCTGTGATCCATATTTTCGGAAGGTTAACGCACGCCATGGATTGATATTTTTGAGCGTCGGTAAGCATTCTCTCGAATGTGTTTGACGTCGTGTAGTATTTGCTGCCAACAAATTAAATTTACAGGTTATGATGGTGCAACCGTTGTGCCTGGATGCAAAGATGTACGAAAGCTTGCGTGTGATTGCTATGGTCAATACCGAAAGCAGTGACAAATCTGTTCCCGCAACTTAAGCAGCCAAGCCCTCTCTGCAGCAATCCCGAATGGTGCAGATCCAACCACTCGGAACTTATGACAGTGTAGCAAGCTGGGTTAACTTTGCCTTCATGCAGGGTTGGGTTGCAGTAAGGCTCGAAAGGATTGCGCAGCAGACCGTCAGCATCCCCCCAAGAGTTAGGTTCGACGTAATACATAGCATCTTCAACACATCGCATCAAGTGCCATTCCCTACATTTTCCTATCATGCCCGTAATCGAATCTACTCGCTTGTCCAAAATATTTTGAAGACTGTCGGGCCCGAAACTCATGGAGGGGCATTTGGGTGCTCATAGCTGAACTGCATTTTCAAGTCATCAGGTTGTGTAGTTATGCGCCGGGGAAGTGTAGCCTCATGTTGCCGAAGTGATTACTCTTTGACGCCCATGCCGTGCAAAACCCTGATGGCAGATCGCACACATGAGCAACGAGCAATTTTCTGAATCGCGTGAATCCTCAGTCGTCAAGCATGCAGCGTAGTTCTGCTCGGGCCTTTGGAAAACCTTCCGAAGCCGAGCTCTTGCAAGATTTGGTGTACAAGGTTTCTGTCAGTTTGGGTTTTGGGCTTCCATGGGCTCCAGGATCCACCGGCGCCGGCTGGATTGACCTTTTTCTGACGATGCTCCTTGCGGTTGGAAGATACTCACCCAGCATCTAGCAGATTTCTCATATTGGTAGTTTATGGTCGTTGAGTCGCGAACCATTCGGAAGTCAAAGCTACGCCCCAAAGCTTAGAAGGGCCTTGTTTCGCACAAGAGGTGAACTTCAGAAAGAGGTTTAGCCGCATCTTGAGTGAATGGATCTGTGCGCCTAGCTCCTCCAGAACGAAAGAACCCTGAAAAGGCGTGTCCTCAACAGCTACCAACCCTCTTTCTGAGCATGAATCCCAGAAGGGTTCATGTTGTAATATGTTGCACCAACAATTTCACCAAGGGCATATCCTGAATTAGGATCGCTTCTGGGGTTCGTATCATTTCGGACCCGGCCCTTCTTAGTCCGCTTATTCTGGCCGCCTTGTTTTATGGGCACACTCCAAGAAGCCAAGGAAGAACTTTGAGAAGCTGAGGTATCATGCTGCAGTTCCTCTTTGTGTTCGTCCTTGTCAGTGAAGATTTTCTCGGCGGGGGCTTCGATGCTGAGATAGCTGCGGCCAGAACTTTAGCTGAAGCCCATTATGGTTCATTCTTCCACGTTGCGTGTGAGGTTGTTGTACAGAAGCCTACATGATTACCAAGATTCTCCCTTATAGGGGTCCGTAACTCCGTAACTATACTACAATGTATTGCAAAGCAAGCCCGCTTTCTAATTATTGATATTGAGCTTCCACATTAGTAGCCGTGTCGGTTTTTTTGGTTCGGGAGCTACGTGATACACACATGGGAGTTTCCGAAAACAGGGACCCTAATATAGTACCCTACATAGTAGCAAATAAGGTACCCCTAATTTTCGAAACCCCCACATGTGTGCCCAATGCGGCGTCTTGCAACGATGTGGAATGTATCCAGATGCGGCATGTCTACGTCGGCGCGGGGTTCTTCCATGTTTCTTTTGTAGGAGTTTGAGGCTCCGGGTGCCCTGCCCGACACAGCACTTGAGGGTTCAAGGTTCGGAATTCTGAATTGTTGTCAGATGCTGGTGGAGTTGTCCCCTTGCGCAACCCCACGTGGGCTGCCAGTAGTTAGAAGGGCGAGCCAGCTTCCTCGATTTCACACCTCATGCCTCGGCTGACTGTAAAGCTTTAGATCCGAGCCCACGTGGGCCGTCGTATTTATAAACTAGGCTCGGGGTATTATGTATCCTACTGGGGAGGGTATCTGTTGTATCAAGGCATGAAGATGACAGAGCAAGCACCCTCGAACTACAACGAGTGTTGCCCTCGTTCCAAACAGGTGTTCTGGGCATTGCATCTGGAGGAGTTTCCGGAGTTCCCGGATCTCTTCAGCGACTTCCCAGAAAACAACGTGGGCGGCTTAGTGTTCCAGTTGGGCTCGTGGACGGCAGTCACTTCGTCCTGTCGGGATTTGGGGTTAGGGCTTAGGGTTTTCGGGTTTACGGTTTGGGGGGGTCGGTGTTTTACTGTCTGGGTTTAGGGTTTCCGGGTTCCAGGGCTGGGGTGTAGAGTGTCTGGGTTTCAGGCTTAGTGTTTAAGGTCTCGGGCTTGGGTTTTGTTTTCGGTCGCAAGGCGACCCGCTACGACGCGGAGATTGCTGCAACTTGGTCGCATTGCTTGTGTTGCTTTTTCTTGCTTGTTCTTGGGTTTGCTTGGTGTGTTGCTTTCGAGGCCTCCTTGGACTGTTTTCCGGCGGAACCGGCTGTGCCTGTGGTAGCTTGGCTGGTTTCTTGTTCCTTCTTGTTTTGCGTTGTACTTCTTGTTCCGCGTGCCTTGTGGCTATAAGGAGTTGGCGTCCAGCAGCACGGACGCCCCGGCTCCTTGGTTTGGGTTTGTTGTGGTTCATAGTTATGTTTTGGGGGGCTTCGCTTGTTTGCGTGTGTGAATCGAGGTCCACTTGGCCGTCGTAGCTTGGCTGGTTTTGTGTTCTCCCTTGTTTTGCGTTGTACTTCTTAGTCCGCATGCCTTGTGGCTGTAAGGAGGCCGCCTCTGGTAGTGGTGACACTCCCGCTCCTTGGACCGGGTTTGTTTTTTAGTTATGCTTTGGGGTGACCTCGCCTGTTTGCATGCCTGAACCGAGGTCATGATTCCTGTTGCTGACGGAGACGAAAGCCCTACCAAGCGGCAGCGGCATTGCCGCCCTATCGGTCCTAGGTGAGGGTCTGGTTTGTTTGTTTCTTGGATTTCCCGCCTTCCCCCTCCCTTGGAACAGGAACCGATACAATGTGGAACGTCTGCCTTGTGGCGACTGCCCACGCTGTATCACGAATCGGCTCCGAGGCCTTTGGGTGTTCTGTGTGTTAGGGGATTGCGGTTCGTGGGGTTTTAAGGTTCTACATGTTTCGGCTTCATAGGAATTCTGGGTTTAGGGCTTATGGGGTTCAGGGTTTTTTTTGTGCTTAGGGTTTTGGGGTTTAGTGGTTCTGGTGCCAGGGCTTTGATGCGGGGGCTTAGGGTCCGGGTCTCGGGTTTTTTGGGTTCAGGGTTTCAGTGCTTGGGCTTGTGGGGTTTAGGATTGTTTTTGGCTTAGTACCTTTTTGTCCGCCGTTTAAGGATCTAGGGCTCGGGGATGTAAGGTTTCGGGTCTAGTATTTTGGGCGGTTAGGGGGGATCTCGGTTGTTCTTCTGTTTGCCGCCAGGCCACCCACAGAGGAGTGATCGCTGCGACAATCCACTGCCGCGTAATTACATCTTTCGGCAGGGCCGGCGGCGATGACTATGGGCATGACTTCAACTATAACCTTAGCGATCCTTGCGCGGGTGCCTTGTGGTCTTCATTTTCGCTCCCAGTACTCTTTAGACCTAGTCGCTATAACACCTTCGCCGTAAATGCCAAACAGCCTAATTACCCTAAGGCCCCAAAGTAGTTCCTTTTTGGGGTTCGTATATAGAATCCTATAAGGTAGTCCCAAAAAGGAACTACTTTGGGGCCTTAGGGTAATGACACCTCCGCCCCCTTCCAAAAGCAAGCCTCAGGAACTTGGAGGGCAAGCATTGCCCACGACGCAAAGTACAGAGATCTGTCTGGGACCAGCTTGGCCTCCCGTGTCTGCACCTCCGCTTAAAGAAGGGGTGTTTAGAATCTACCTGGGCACTAAACAACCTACCTATGTAATGGTTTACATAGTCATTTCAGAATGAAGAATCCTATAAAGCGATCTTTATGTGGAAATCATATTGAAGAATCTTACAAAGGTAGGTTTTATAGCGTCCATGCAGGTAGGGTTTGTTGTGGGAGAGGCCCAGGAAGTGCAGAAGCAGCTCCACAAAGCTTCAATGTTTTGTGAGTCTTGATGAGGGTTTAAGTATTAGGTATGGGGTTTAGGGTTTGGGTTTTGGGGTGCCAAACCATGTCACAATATTCCAGACATGTTTACAAAGAGCAGGTCATACACCAACTCACACACATCAGAGCCCGCACACAGCCCGGGGGAGGATTGGGTTTCGGGCTACGAGTTAGGCTTCGGGGCTTTCACTGCTAAGTCCCATGATTCTTCTCTGAGGCAACGGAGATGGCTCCTTGATCCAATCCAACGAGCCTTCGGTCCTACTTTGGCGGGCTTGGGAAGGGGGGTTTAGTAGGGTTGAGGGGTTTACCCTATAATGGGCTGAATAATGGGTATACAATAGCTATATTAAGGGTATATACCTAGGGGTCCTTATTGGGTTTAGGGTTTGTGCGGCCCTTAAGTCGGGCTTGAGGTTGCGAGTGCCTGGGAGAGAGAGAGAGAGAGAGAGAGAGAGAGAGAGAGAGAGAGAAAGAGGGGGTTTAGGCGTTTGGGTCTTGTGTTCGGATATTGGGGTCCAGGCGTGGGGTCTTTGAGGGGAGGAGTTTTACCCCTGTAGCCCGGGGAAAGTCCCGCATCAGTAGCTTTGGGCCACAGAGCCCTTACCAAGTCCCCCAACCCTCACGGCATGATTTTCAATCCTGCACCGATGTCTTCAAGATCATGAATTCCTAGAGGCCCTAACAAATGAGGAGCATTCCTGAGGCTGCCATTATGTAATCAATGTAATCCTTGATGCAGGTGGGGATAGTCCATCCCGGACCCTGTATTCCTGACCCGGAGTCTCTGATTCTTGATGATTCCAAAAGGTAATGGGGCCTACGTTCATGGCTCCTGCAACATAGGCTTGGGTCCGAAGCCCTCAGGAAAAGCTTTCGTTTCGGGCCACGAAGAAGCACACAGACACAAGGACCCCATCATACTACAGTATGCTTGGATGCGGGACTTACAACACGAACAGTGGATCCAGATGCTCATTGCGCAGTCGGCTAAGCTAAGTAAGTATAGCCCAGAGGTTGAGTGTTTTGAGGTTTGGGTTTGGGGCCCTTGCATTATGCAGGCAGCTTTTCGGACGGAGTGCTTGCTTGTAACCCCTGAACCCATCAACCGAAGCACAAAAACCCCTGATCTAACGAAGCCTGAGCTTCTCGAACCCTGCATTGCCATAATATTCAGGCCCAAATAATGGCTAATACTATTTTGGGGGTTCCTTATTATACTTATAGCATACTGGCACCAAAACCCTATTCTAATTATGAAGGCCCCTGTATTACCCCTCCAGCCGTCTTCTACAAACAGACCGGGCCAAGGAGCAGGCCAACCTCCTAGCCGAAATCAACTCCTTCCTTGGCCAGCTGCATGCACGTTCAACGGTTTCGGGTTTAGGAGGATGTGTTTTGGAGTAAGATGGTTGGAAGAAAAACCGGAAAGTCGCACTACTGTTTGATCATGCTTGATCCAGCAAGCTCAAAACGGCCCCAAAACTCCTGAACACGAAACCTGGAAGACCTTTACCGCCCTAAACCTCAAAAATTGGGGGTTTTGCGGGTCTCTCGGGTCCAGGTGCACTTATCGTGCACGGCCCTGAGCCCTACATCTAATCCCCAAACGATGGTTCGATGTGGTGTCGTGATGGAGGGGACCTCTGGAAACGGACCCTCCACCCCTGCGGGATTTTGCAAGCGAAAAGGGCGGATACGGTATACCATACATATTTAGTTTGTACATGTATTTGTTGATTATATCACTGATTAGGTATGTATGCAGGTAGGCAGGTGTGTGTGTGTGTGTTTTTGTTCATGTGAAAAATCATGAAGCCTTAAACCTTAATGCCACACTTACGAGCACAGTGGTCATGCTTCTTCAAGCTCTGCGACGCTGTGTTCTTAAATTGTCGACATGGTTTCGTCTTGGTTTGGAGCTGGTCATGTCACTTCTTTTAGAAGAGCTTGGCACATGCCCTTCCTGTAGTGTCCGAGCGCGTGCGCCGAAACCCTGCAACCCCCAAGCCCACTACGTTCCCAGCCGCCCTAGATCAATGCCATGCGAGAGGGAAAAAATGACCCGCACGGCCCGAAACCGTGAAGGCTTGAATCCTTAAAGCCCTACCTGGACCCTAAAAGTATGTAGAATACTGGCCTTTTATGGGTATTGGGCCGTTATTTTATCTACTTTGGAGGGTTTAGGTACTCCTTGAAAGCCGAGATGCCAGCCGCAAGCCTTCAATGCCGTGCCGAGGCCTACGATCTGAGGACTTTGCCGTGTCCGGCTTGGCACCGGGGGTGATCCTCAGCGGGCTTTGCATGTTGCGCCTGGGCCGTGAGATGTTGGTGTAGGGCACGGCGTTGGAGCAGTATGTAGGTGATGGAATTATGAGGTTAATTTGGGGCTCCAGGAAGACTTTGCAAACTGTTGTGGCCTGGAATTTGGAGGTCATGGGTTTATGGTTCCGATGCGAGGGGATGCGTAGTTTTAAGCTCACTGTCTGGGTGCGCTTGACCCGAAGGCTTATCAGGCAACATGAGCACCATGTTGCGCTTAGTTGGGCCTCACGTTGTTGCTTCAGGACAGTCAGGAATGGATGCATGCATCAACCGCAAGACCCGAACCTTCAATTCTGACCAGTATTGCGTCTGTAGCCCAGCAGCAACAGCTTGAGATCAGCGAACCTCATGGTCGGACCGCTGCTGAGGCTGTGGTGCATGTACCTTTGCAGAGAATTCCGCACCATTTGGCTCCTTGCCAGCATGTGTAGCGAAGCTGGACCCTCTTGCGTCGGCAACGCTCAGCCGTACAACCTGAAGCCCTTAGCGCCCAAAGCTTGCGACGAAAGCCGCAAAACCTAGAGCCGTGAATCCTAAGCGCAACTTTCCAAAGCTTGTTCCGTTGCCGGGAAGCTGCTTCTAGCATTTGCGGGCTCTAATCAATAACCCCTGCTTGGAGGGGCAGGAGACTTAGTAAGTAGGTTATATTAATGTAGGGTTAAAATTGGGCAACTCCACCTGGGATACTTATAACTCTTCTTACGACCAACTTACTGAGTCCCCTGCCCCTCCAAGTCAAGTCTGTGTCTGATTGGATGGGCTACCTAGAAGCAGGGGCTCGTCTTTTTTTGTAAGCAAGAGAGCCTTTTGTATTAGATGGGCGTTTGACTCTTCATGCGTCGTGTAGTATGTTAAAGTAATTAGTAATTAGCTTCTTTGCTTTTAGTATGTTACAGTACGGTTTTATGAATGTAGGACATAAGGGTCGGGCCTTGCTCCAAGGGGGTAGCCAAGGATTTCTATGGAAGCGATCCTGCAGATTCCACGGGCGCGCAAGACTGATTTCAGCAACGGGCGTCCGGTGGCCCAGAATGCGGGGATCTGTCTTGACAGGTGTCCTCAGTGTGGACTATCCGTCGCCAATTTCAAGATTGATGTCTGCTTACCTTTGTGAAGTTTTGTAGGATTGCAGATGGACACATCTTCAGATGCGGCTGGGAGCTAAATCCTGCGAGCTCAACCTGTACGCCCCAGAAGCCCCAAATCCTGAAGCTTTGGCTGAGGGGTTAGGGTACTATATGCCCGAAACTCATTGAAGCCCTTACACCCTGAAGTAGTGCCCACTCTTGGCCAAAGCGCCAGAAGTCTGAAGTGGCCGGAGTGCCAAGGTTTGGGGTTGACACTGGGTTTATACTGAGGCTCCTGGACCCTCGGGTTTTGGGGGGTCCAGGGTCTAGGAGTTTAGGGTTTTAGGGTGCAGGGGACCCTGTTTGAGGTATTCGAGGATGGAGGTAGACAGCCTTAGCAAGCAAATCTTTGGGGCTGATGCGTGTTTTGTGCGAAAAGTTTGGGGCTTAGGGGCTAGGGCTTGACTTAACAAGACTCGTGGAAAGCCCAACTAGGAAGCTCGAATAGAGTATATGGTGACTGCTAGGGAACCTCGCAATCCTAGATCCCACAGAAGCTTGAGTGCAGAGAAAGGACGCCTAGCACCTGGGAGAGGATACTTTTGTTGAGTTGACTCGGCTCACGGGTTTAAGGGGAGTGATTACCCAGCTTCCGGAGGTTTCGCCGCAATATCCTACTTCCGACTCGTGGCATCTTGGCAGATATCATGATTGCGAGTCGCGGCTTTGGCGGGATCAGAGGGTTGTTGAAAGCCATGGTTTAGCGGCTCAGAGGTTCGGGGTTTAGGCTTGTCCTTCAGGTAAACGAGCAGCATACGAGCAGGGTTGTGGGATACATGCAAAGTGCAGCCGCGGAGAAGCCGTTGAGGGTGTCGGGTCTCAGATAAGCAAGCCTGTGAGCATAGTCAGCCCGAAGCAAGGCCCAAAATCCCCCGTACGCCCTAGACTTAAACCTCAGGAGTTGAGATGTTTTGCAGACGAGATGCCGAACCCTGGAAGCCCATACCGCGAGCAAACCATGTAATCGTATGCAAACCAGCAAAAATACATATACAGATACATGTATGTTTTTATGTGTGTGTATATATATATGTATATATATATATATATATATATATGTATATATATATACATATGCGCACGTGCATATACATGTATTCTGTTCATATACATATACATGTGCATATATATATATATATAACCCGAGTGTTGATGGAGCCATATGCAGCCATGCTGCAGCAATTAGGCACTGCCAGTGCCCGAGATGCCTGACTTAAACCCCAAACCCCAAATTACCTGCCTGTATGAGGACTTACCTAAAGAAATCAAACTAAGGAGCTCCCAAAAGTGTGAATATCAAAGCTCTTTCTTATGGTCAGGGTTCAGTGCCTATCCCGAAAGTCTTTTGGGTTTCTGGTTGAGGGGTTGTATTGCAGGGTGAATTCAGGGCTTTCATTGCCCGGCGGGCTGCGTGAACCCAACGAGTTCTATGGCTCAGACTCCATATAGGGAATGCTTTGTACGTAGATATCGGAAATACTACATACGGCCTCGAATTCCTTTTTCAAGAACCAAGGTCTACCTCACATTACGCTTGGCACGGGGCCCAGACGAGCAAGCTCAACCACCGGAGATGCGATTTCTGTTCGCCTGCACGATATTTCAGCTTTTCCTTGTGCGCTGTTACGGAGAGACTTGTTTTCGAAGGTGGGTTCATGCAGCTGAAGAGCGGGGATGTGAAGCCAAATTTCCCCCCTTGTTGTACAGGTAGCACATAAAACGACAGGTTTTTTTCAGCACTTCTGCACTGAGCCAGGAGCCCTCATCACGTTTCTGTGTGTGCGTGTGTGTGAAAGGAGGCGTTGCCTTCGGCTCTTTTGGGTTTCAAGAGTCCCTAAGCTCTTACCTCATGAACCCGTGCCTGCCATCGTGCGAGTGTGCAAGTGAAACCTTAAGCCCAGAAGTTGTTGTCTGGACACTTCGGCGAACAGAAAATCAGAAAAGGAGCGTCTAAAAAGAAGTTGTTGTCAAGGAGCGCACATCCCTAAAGCGGTGAGCTTTGCACCGAGTCATGCGGAGAAGGGCCCACTGCGCTTTTGAAGCAGTTGTAACCGTATACGCCCTATCAATTCTAAGACTTCACCGGAGCCGTCGATCTTATAGTAACCCTTATACAGTCCTTCCAGCAGCCCTTTCAGAACCCTTCCCCACCTGTAGTCTCCATTGTATAGTTCCTTTTTGGGTTTACCTTTTAGGATCCTTAATATACGTTTGGGTTAAACCAGAAAAAGGAACTACAGTGGAGACTAGAGGCAACCCTCAAAGGAACCCCTACTCTTCAGCAGGGAATGGAAGAATGGTAGGTTACTAGTAGTTATAACTGTACCCCATTCCTCCATTCCCTACTAACCAAAGGTAAGTCATAGGAACCCCTACTCTACGCTCAGTATCGTACCGCGATCACGGGCTGCCTCCTCTGGGCTGGACAGCAGTGGCTTGCAAACACGAAGCCGCGCGGCCGCAACGGCGCCAGGATCCGGTTTCCAGATTTAGGGGTTTTAGGGTTTTTAAGGGTTTAGGGCTTTTAGGGGTTTTAGGGGTTTGGGGTTTGGGCAACCGCGCGGCTGACAGACCCCTGAGTCCGCGAGCGAGAGAGAGAGAGGGGTTTGGGGTTTAACAGTTTTAGGGTTTAGCAGTTTAGGTTTAGGGCTTTGAGGTTTAGGCCACGGTAATGGGGTTTAGGCTTTAGGTTTAAGGTTTAGGGACGCTGCAGACCGGATGCAAAAAAAGGCTTAGGGACAGAGTTGAGAATCCCTTGCTTTGGCATCGCTTATCGAGGATCCCGACAAGAACTTTACGGTCGTGCTTTCAGGCGTTAGAGTCTAACACAGGGGCATTACTGTAATTATTAGAGTAGGGATTCTGGGCATTTTGTGCTGTAGTTAAATGCGGACACATGTGCACGATGAGGAGATTTAGAGATATTCTCACCTCCTTTCCGACCCCTACCTTAGGGTTTTGGCGGTGGCTTTGTGAGCTCGGGAGTGGAGGATTTGGGGCCTCGGGCAAGCTCAACCTGTGGCAAATACAGAAGCTCGAACAATTCCCAAACAGGCTGAGTATAGGGGCCTTAATAGTTAGAATAGGAGTTTGGGGCCAACTATACTATAATTGTATGAAGGCACCCTCCAGAATAGTAATGGTAATCATTTAGGCCGCCAAAAAGGAAGGGACCCTTGTAACGAGAGTTCTAGAAGTTTAGGCTGCAATGCTGGGGTTCCTCATCTTCTCGAAGTTCTACATTGACATTGCGAGCCACGCAGCAAGCCCTAAAGCGCTGGAAAGCCCTAATTAAAGCCTGATCGTAAAACAAGCCCCTTAAAACCAATCCTACATATGCCCTAGAACAACCCCTAAACACAAGGAGTATCACCGACCTGATCTTGAATGCTTCGGCACTGGGGACCATCCTCGAGATTGACGAGTTGGTGTTCGCTTCGCTGCTGCCGAAGAAGATCCAGGCGAGTTTCAGGGTCTACCCTAAGGCCCCAAAGTAGTTCCTTTTTGGGGTTGGTATATAGAATCCTATGAGGTAATCCCAAAAAGGAGCTACTTTGGGGCCTATGGGTACCCTCACCTACCAGAACCTGTTATTTTGTAGGTTCTGATTAATGTGCAAATTTATAGGGACCCTAGCAAAGTAGGCTCTGGTAGGTTAAGGTCGGGTTTATACAAAGTTTCGGATCGAACCGGTCGTTCATGCTTGTCGGGCTTGTGTGTTGGGTTTTTCTTGATGCAACATGTGTTGTTTGCTTGTTGTGGTCTAGTATTGCAAGGATTGATGCTGTGACTCTTGGTTTTGACTTTGATGCCGAATTGGTGTGGCCTAGTCTTCCTGTGCTCGTGGTGACTGGGACATTAGACTTTCGAGAACTGTTCTGTACCTGCTTAAGCAAAGAGCGCAAGCACTAGTGATGTTCTCATGAAAGACTACGTCGTAAAATGTTAGCTGACTCCCTTTGTTTTGCTACAGTAATAATTTTGCTTATTCCTTCGTCCTTGTTGCTAGCTGATTCCAGCGTTTGTGCTGATGTTCAAATGCCGGATTCTTGCATTTGGAATGGCGGTCCTAATGAAAGTGCAGAGTAGAGGAGATGCTGTTAACTTCCAGGCACATTCCAGAATATGGCTTAACTGAAGCACACGTGCCGCGAAGGCTGCCATCTACAGTTTGGAGGCCGTGAAGGTGCACTGCCTGCTCACACCCGTTGATGTAGCATGAAGCCCTAAGCATGAGTATGAAGAATCTTGATCCCAAACCTACTGGTCCCCAAACACAAAAGTCCTCATACTGTGGAGGGCCTCTGGTCGTTAGGGTTGAAGAGCCCGGGATCACGACAGGGGGTTTGTGGCTTTGTGGTCTACATAGTGTCTATATACATATATACACATACATGTGTATATATATATATATAGATACATATACATATATATATATATATATGTTTTATAATAAGTATAAGTTTAAGTATGGCCAGTATGGCCATACGTATCTATGGCAAGCTGAGGGCGGGCCTAGGCTATAGATCTTTTGGAACCTGCACAGGGGCCGGCGCTGTAAATAGGCCCTATGCAGCCATCGAGGTGCGATCGACAACTGCGTCAATGCACTTACCTGGACCCCAAAAGTATGTAGAATAATGGCCTTTAGTGGGTATTGGGCCACTATTTTACCTACTTTGGGGGGTTTAGGTACATGTAGTTATTCAGGTTTATAGGGGCCTCAACGCAAAGCTCGTAGGTTCCCCTCCCTGCGGGTGAAGCCCCAGACCCCTAGAGCTTTTCAATCCCATACCTTGGGTACGGCCCCCACCCAGTAACAGTTGGATAATATTCATAATATAGATATATAAGGCCCTTAATAGTTTCCCTATTATAGACTAAATTATAGACTCTAACTGTATGGGGGCCGTACCCAACCCATACCCTTGGCCCGAATTCCCACAGGTCCGGTACACGCGCGCGAAGAGTCAACTGGAGGGGACATTGATCCTCGTGGGAGTGGTCGTGGTGCCACTCCCTTTCAATGTCTAGGGAATCGGGCTAGTGTTCAGATTCGATTCAAGAGGTGCGAGGTGTTAGAGAGTGCAAGAGAGAAAGTCAGAGAGAGAGAGAGAGAGGGGGAGAGGGTGCTGAAGAAGAAAGAGAGTGCGAGACACGTCCTGCACAAGTATATATACATACGTACATGCACACATATTGTGTTTGTTTTAGTTATGCTTGGCTTCTACCATACTGTGTCACAGACTACACTGGGATTCGGAGCAGATCTGTGGGAGGGAGGGAGGCTTGCATTCGGAAGGTGCCTCCAGGCGAGGGCACGCCGTCTTTTTCCTTGGCAGATGAGGCTTCGTTACTTTTTGCGGCCCAAGCAATGTTTCATTTATTGAGGCTCCAGTCTACACCTGGTTTCTAAGGACCCTGGCTCCCATCTTCGTTTGGGTGATGCCACTGGTGGACATAATGCAGCAGGCAGCTGACCTCCTTCTTGCCGTATATAGGAAGGGTATATAGGGTGTTGAGGGTATAGAGTGCCCTGCAATGTAAGGACTTCATCTCATCACCTCACCACTTTCCTTGTCAGTAGTGTTGCGGACAGAGGGGTGCGGCATGAGCACGCTCTTCGTAGTCCTGGTATGCTTGCCTCAACTATAACCGTACAAGTTACCGTATAAGCCCAGCCACAGAATCATGCAAGCCCTCGGCCACCGTTGTTGACGTAGCGGCAGTGCTTGCGGTCGTAGTATCAAGGGCCTCTTGGTTGGCCGTCCTGTCCTCGTCCATCGTTCATTCTGGGTCTTCTTTAAAGTTGCACTGGGCTGTATAGCAAAGATCGAATTGTCGAGGCCCGCTCTTCGAATTCTCATCTCCGAAAGCCAAGCAACATAGAACTAACCTCCAAACCAGGTCAAGAGCGAGTTCTGCTACGGCGCGCAGAACTTCGTCGTTGCCTACAACCAGGACGAGATTCTAGAAGTCTTCGGCCTTCGGCAGAAGCCAAGGATTCAGAATACATGGCTCGAGTGGTTTGGTCCTCTTAATCGAAAGTCCTAAACCCTGAATCCTAAACTAAATAGAAGCCTACATTCAAACCGGGTTACTAAGTCTTCGGTGCCCGGGCCCTGAATTGCGAAACCCTCGGAAGCTTCGGCTGAGGCAAGCTCTTTAAACAAGGAAGCTTCCAACATGAAGCTTGAACCCGAAAACTCAACGCCCATGCGCCCCTAAGCCCTAAAGTCTCAACACCCAAACTCTTCAGAAACCATCGAGGGTCCAGATAGGGAAGCCTGCAGAAGGACTCGCAAACGACTGTGGGCCTGGCGACGCCTTCTTTCGCCGTCCGCTACGCGCCTCCGCTCTTGGGAGTTGTTTTGCAGTAGACAGTGGACATAGGCGTAGTCGTGGTGGTAGTGGTAGCAGTAGTAGGAGCAGTCGTCGTCGTGGTGGCTGTCCTCGTAGTCGTCGTGGTGGTGGTAGTAGTAGTATGTAGTTAGTAGTAGTTACAGTAGAAGTAGTAGTGGTGGTAGTAGTACGTAGTAGTAGGAACCAAGAGGATGCCGATTGAGATCGGGGCTCCCCCAGACAGACATGCAATACTTATACTTACACACTTCCGGTTTAAATACAAACCAAGAGCGAGAATGTTTTTTTTTCTCTCTCTCTCTCTCTCTCTCTCTCTATCTGCATGTTTTGTCTAGTCTCTTCCGTTAAAGTGGGTCACTGCTCCACTGCCTAGGAAAATGGCTTATCTCTGAGTGAACGAGCCGTTTTGGGGCACACGCTACCCACCGCGGACACGACGTTCGTTGGGCCGCCTCTCGGCTTGGCTTTCCAGATTGATGAGGTGTACTTGGAGGGCCAGGGGACGTAGTAAGTAGGTCATAAGTAGGGCTATAATTGGGGTAACTCCATTAAGATACTTATAACTCTACTTGTAACCTGCTTTCTAAGTCCCCTGCCCGTCCAAGTAAGGTTTAAGACTTAGGGGTTATAGGGGGTATCACTCAAGCATAGGGTTTTGAGGCTTGCAGAAGTTGAGAGGTTGCAGGGTCGTTAATGGTTTATGTATCAGGGTTTAGGTTTAGGGCTTGCAACAACAACAACAACCACAACAACTACGAACTACTTGTAATGACGACAATGGAAACAATGAAAAGACTGACAACAACGACACCGACGACGACGACAACGACAACGACAACAACAACACAAAGCATCATCATCAACAACAACAACACCAACACCAACACCAACACCAACACCAACACCACCAACAACAACAACAACAAGGAACGAACAAAAACAGGAGCCCCATTCCAACAACAAATTCTTGCTTTTGTCTCTTCTACTGGACTGGAGACAAAACCTGGTGCCCCGTATGTTGTTCTGAAGGGGGGGGTGTTGTTCCCCTTTGCCCGTTTTGTCTCTTCTACCAGACTGGAGACAAGACCTGGTGCCCCGTGTGTTGTTCCGAGGGGGGGGGGGCTGTTGTTCCAGTGTTGTTCTGCTGTTGTTCCCAACGGTCTTTGTCTGTACATGAGTAGAAGCAACAAAGCCTGGTGCCCCGTGTGTTGTTCTGAGGGGGGGGGGTGTTGTTTTGGGGGGCCGGGGCCGGGGGGGGGGGGGGGGGGGGCCCGGGGAGCCGGGGGGGTGTTGTTTTTGGGGGGGCCTGGCACGGTTGTTCTACCCATGCCCACCCGGAACCGAGGTTGTTGTTGCCAGTCTGGTAGAAGAAACAAAAACCTGGTGCCCCGTGTGTTGTTCTACACCCCCCCCTCCTGGCAACCCATGCCCACCCGGAACCGAGGTTGTTGTTGCCAGTCTGGTAGAAGAAACAAAACCTGGTGCCCCGTGTGTTGTTCTGCCCCCCCCCCCTCCTGGCAACCCATGCCCACCAGGAACCGAGGTTGTTGTTGCCAGTCTGGTAGAAGAAACAAAACCTGGTGCCCCGTGTGTTGTTCTACCCCCCCCCTCTCTGGCAACCCATGCCCACCAGGAACCGAGGTTGTTGTTGCCAGTCTGGTAGAAGAAACAAAACCTGGTGCCCCGTGTGTTGTTCTACCCCCCCCCCTCCTGGCAACCCATGCCCACCCGGAACCGAGGTTGTTGTTGCCAGTCTGGTAGAAGAAACAAAACCTGGTGCCCCGTGTGTTGTTCTACCCCCCCCCCCCCCCCGCACAACCTCCGGGGGGCGCGCCCCGCAGGGGTGCGCCTCGTGGCTTCCTTTTAAACAAATCGAATGGGGCTCCAGTCTTTGTGCTTACCAACAACAACAACAACGACAACGACAACGACAACGACAACAACAACGACGACAACAACAACAACACCAGCAACAACAACAACAACAACAACAACGACAACGACAACGACAACCACCACAACAATGACAACAACAACAACAACAACGACAACCACCACAACAATGACAACAACATCGACAACACAAAACATCAACGGCAGTAGCAGTAGCAACAACAACAACAACAACTGCAACAGTGACAACGACACCAACGACGACAGCGACCACCGCGACGACACCGGCATCGACAACGACAACGACTGCAGCAGCAACAGCACAAAACATCATCAACAACGCCAGCAACCGCAACAGCAACAACAACAGCAGCGACAGCGACAGCGACGGCCACAACAGCAACAGCAACCGCAATAACAGCAATAGCATCAACAGTAGATATACATAATGTTGATGATAATGTTAAAAACAACAATGACAACGACGACACCGACGACGACGACGACGACGATACCAACAACGACAACAAGAACAACAACAACAACAACAACAACAACAACAACAACAACAACAACAACAACAACAACAACAACAACAACAACAACAACAACAACAACAACAAAAACACAAACAACATCAACAACAACGACAACAACCGCCTCAACAGCGCCGCAACCACAACAGCAGCAACAGCATCAACAACACCAGCAACAGCAAGAGCACCAACAGCAACAGCAGCAACCGTAGCAACAACAACACCATGAACAGCAACCAACCCCAAATCCAAGCTGCTTCGAGGTACGACTGGAATCTGATCTACTTCGCAGACGACCCCGACACGTTTGCCCGAGACACTGTGATTTCGCAAGCATCGATATCCGACCAGATCGTCGACTGTGCAGCTCGGCAGCGGTTCGAACCTTTGACGGTTTGTTGTTGTCACTCTCTCTCTCTCTCTCCCTCCCCTCTCCCTCCCCCTCTCCCTCCCTCCCTCCCTCCCTCCTCCCTTCCTCCCCCCTTTTTGCATGCAGACATGGAAATGTAGAGATCTGAATAGGTTTTAATAGTGTTGTGGGATTTCTTATACAAGCTTCATAGCAGGCACTCCAGGGACAAGGTATGACTTAGCAATAAGGCCCCATTTTGCTTGGGCTGAAGATGCACATGCAAGTCAACACAAGCATCCTATCAAGCAGCTGCTGCCCGGAGTAGACTAGCTTTTGAGGTATATGGGACTATACTTGTTCTAAGGAACCCGAAGGCACGCCCAGTTTAGGTTCTAACCTTTCGGGTAGAATTTCGGTCAGCACCAAGTTGGACGCGGACGACTGGCCTCGTCGTTACGGCGCAACATACACAGAGAGAGAGATACCACGGTTCCACGCCGCCGCAGCTATGAGTCTTGGCCGGGAGCAGTCAAGCTCACAGCGGCTAATCCCCTAAGTGCAAAACGAGATTGAAGCTATGACCTAGCGTAGCGTCAGCGTAGGTAAACCTCTTCGTTTCCAGGGCATGTTTTAGTATGACCCTGTCATGCTCGAAAACTGTCCTCTGTCTGGACCATCGAACTCAGCAGCAAGGGACCTTCAGACAATAGATGACCCCGAATGCGGACTTCTAGGCCATTCAGCTAGACAAGTCGTGTGATTCTGTTCTTAGATTGCATTTGGGCTGCATATAAAGAGTACGGTTCGGGGAGTATGGCCGTTTTACCCATGCTTGTACAAACACACGCATACACACATTGTCTATCGCGTGATCGTGTGTTGCCTCGTGCGACCAGCGCTGCATCCCCTCCGTGGTATCGCTTTAGCACATGCATGAGCCTGAGACCTTGTTACACCATATCGGTAGTCTTCGTTTACTGGTCAGAAGTCTCCAGCTGGGCACCTTGTGCAACACCGAATTCTACGGAGAGTGGACCCTCAACTCCAAGGCACCCAACTCCTACAGTTTAGTAAACCTGTGGAGCCTTGCCTGCCTTGTGCGAGTGTGAGCGTCGAAACGCTCCCAGGCAAGTCGGAGTGTGAGTGCTTTAAGCCCTACGGTGGGGTGGAGATAGGAATTTCGCCCTGAGCTCTTATCTTATGGCCTGATGTTAATGCCGCAAACTTGTGGTGGGTGTGCCTCAGTTCGCCTTAGAAACGCCCTCTATCTATTCCTTAGACTGTTATGACCGAACCCATACCCGTGCCCCAAACCACAAACAGGCCCTGAAGCCCCTAAACAAAAACCTGAAGCCCAAGTCTCTGAGCCCATAAGGATCGGACGAGACAACGCCACCACATGTGCAGAACTGGCGGATAAGTGCAGCTTCCTTGCATCGAAGGCTTCAGTACTAGTGCTTATGCAACGTGAGAGCTTTAGGGCTGTAGGGAGTCTGGATTTGAACAATCAGGGTTTGGGGCTTCGGGATTTAGGGTTTCAGGAGTAGGATTGGGAGTTGGGGCTTAGGGTTTAGGGAAGGGCTCCGGTTCATCGCAACATCCACCGATGAGGGGTGCCTCAGGACTCCAAGGTGCAGGGTTTGAGTGTTATTTCGACAGGGGGGATCATTAAGACCTGCATTGTGCGAGTTGCGAGATTCCGAACCCCCTACCTGGACCCCAAAAGCATGTAGAATAATAGCCTTTGATGTGTATTGGGCCATTATTTAACTAATTTGGGGGGTTTAGGTAAAGCCTTAAAAGCTACAAAAGGTGGTGACTTCAGCTCGCGTCTTCTCCGCTCGGTCTGCCCTTTGACCTGCGGTTGCCACCTGCCGCAAGCCAACCAATGGTTCAAGGCCGGTGTAGGTTTCTATGGGGTGTAGGTTTTTGGGGTTTACGGTTTAGGGTTTAGGATTTGTTTCGCAACAGGTCGGAGGGTCAGTCCTGGCAGCCAGCAAGCCCGGGTTCAAAAAAACGATTTGTTTCGGGCTTCGGGACTGTATCTATGTGCATACGTAAGTACGAATGTACAATGCACATATGATACTTACATAACGTACACATCTACACGTACCGAAGAGTTACAAGACTGGCCCCTCCTTGCAAATCCCTCGATCTTTGAAGTTGTTCGAAACTTCCCCACCATAAACCCCAAAGCGTGAACCATAAACCCTATAGTCCCTTATAGATCCCAAACCCTAAACCGCTATAGATCCCTTAAAGGAACCCTTAAGGATCCCCCATAAACCGTGGCGGCAGGTCCCGGCGCAGGGCTGCCCAAACGTTTGCCGAACGGAGGCCACCAAGCGCTCCCAGGACTCCCTCATCCTCTCGACTCTCCGCCTCTAACCTCCCCCGAGGGTTTAGGGCTTAGAGGGGGTTTCGGATTTAGGGTTCAGGGTTAGGGGTTTGGTTTAGGGTTTAGGGGTTTCATCCTCCCCCTCCCCCTTCTCCCCGCAAGGGTTTAAAGCGTATAGGGCTCAGGGCTTAGGGCTTTAGCCCAGAAGTTTTCGGGCTCCGGGTCCATAAGGAGCTGCAGTGTCCGACACTGCTGCAGAAGTACACTGCTTCAATCCCTTCGTCAGACATCACGCCTGTGTCCGATATCGGTGTTTAGAACGTAGGGTTTACAGACCCCAAACCCTGTGTCAGCTTGTTGTACAATGTACAGTCTATGAGCGGTAGGGCATTGGAAAACCATGAATGGTCAGATCGGCCTGACATTCCTTGGAGGACATCCCGTGCCGTGACAGCCCCGTCGGGGATAATTGGAGTCTGTGCTGAAAGAGGGCATCTAGGTCGTCCCTAGGTGTAGGTCCTTCCTGAGTTCGGTCTCATGGTCGAGGGTTCCGGATTAAGGTGTTTGGTTTTGCAGGTCTCTTTGCAGGAGCCACTTGTGGAGGCAAGATACCTTCTACGACCTAAGATGCTCCCAGCCAAGGGGTTTAAATCCAAATGTCCTCATTTTCTCGAAGTTTGCCTCGCCCCGAGTGTCCGTGTATAAGCATGCGCCAACAACCAGTAACCCCACACCAGAAGCTACAGACGTGGCTTGTGGGCCCTGTAGGCCATCGCTTTGTGTCTTGAGATAGTCTGGGATAGACTTTCGAACTCTAGCATGGGTGGGCCGTTGACGGAGTAGAGTGTAGAGTTGGGGTGTTTACGGGTCTGGGGTCCAGGATCTCAAGTTTACATTGTTTTTTGCATTTTGGGGTCATACGGCTTTCGCGACATGTTGCATCCATCATCATGGGCCCTGTGCTACGAAGACCTTTGCTCTAATTTCTGTACCCAGCCTGTTGTTTCAATCCTTGATCTTGCACTGATGACCAGCTCTTACACAACCTACAACCCCCCCCACCCCTTTGCTCTCAGAAGCACATGTTCTCTGTTCTTGCATCAAGGCTGTCTTTCTGGGGCAGCTACCCGGACGTCATGCAAGAACATCTGGGGATCAACTTCTCAGACCCGAACAACCCCATAACGGGTTCCGAGTATGTCCATGGCCTCGCAACGTTCATGCAGTGCCTGGGAGCAAAGATGTCTGGCATTTTGGGATCTACGGTGGGCATTGAAAAATTAAGGTTTCGCAGAGGTTCTGCAACAAGGGCCTTCCACCGTCAGGGATTAGGGTTGGAAGTCTTGCTCGTTGAGCTTCTTGAGCTCCATCGAGAATTGTGTTAGCCTCTCGGTGGTGTTTGCGATTTGGAGTGCCTTTCTTGAGGCGTGGCATTCAGGGTAGCTGCGCTTCGGGACGAGCACCAGCTCCTGCTTCAAAGGGTGAGTATAGGGGCCTGAACAATTACCCATACTGGTCGAGGTTGGGCAGTGCGAGACTGTGCCAGGAATGCGACTTTGGGCCAATGCCTTCCAGCGACTGCGGTACTGCAGGTCCCCGTCATACGTGTGTCGGAGCACTCCTTCATGAGGGTCTCTGTATCTGCAAGTGTACCACAATATACATCAAGGCCGCTATACTACAGCCAGGCCCCCTAGATCATTTTTGACACGCTCTTTGTTTGAAAAATCCTGCATCCGAGGACAGCCGGCTGCCCCGGCCTCGTTTCAGTGGCGCAGGACCCCATCACGAGGACCTCTTCGGGTTCAGAGTTCAAGGGTATTTTCGACGGTTTGAGTCTTATGATGATAGTTTCGTGATAGTTTCGACGGTTTGAGTCATCTGATGATAGTTTCGACGTTTTGAGTCATATGATGATAGCGCACAGATCCTTGCTCGGTTTCAACCTTTCCATATCAATTGCAGCATCGCAATGGCCAGAACAGTGAAGTTTGAGTAGCTAGTCATGAACCAACAGTATAACTAGTGCTGACCCAACAAGCGTCAGCTCCAGCACCTTCGCACCTCAGCTGTGGTTCCGAGTGTCATGCTGGGAGTCAAAGAGATCCGTCTCTGAAGGCTCCCCCTGCAGAATTGCAACAGACCCGAAGCTGTCAGTATTCCATGCTTGGATGCTCCAACTAAACCCTAACTTGGTGACTTTGTGGTTTTTTCAGATCTTCACACCGCTTGTGCAAGTGTTGGTGGGGTTTACAGTGGTGTTACCGGTTCAAACGACCCGGGACGTGGGTCTTCAGAATTGGTTGTTGGGTTGTAGGTTAGTGGTCAGTACTTCTTGGTGCAGGATTTGGTTATCAGGGAAACCCCACAAACTTTTAGTATCGACATGTTCGCATGTGTTGATTCCCCTGTCGCAGCTAGGGTCGCGATCCATCAGACGCAGAACCTTACTCTGTAAACATCGAACCTTCCCAGGCATCCCTTTGTCAGACTCTCAATGTACTCAAGCTCTACTTTGCGCGCCTCCCCCCCAAACACCAACACAACTGTTGCCTTCGTTTGCTTGCCAATGCTTGTGCAGGACTGATTGGTGCCAGGGGAACACGTGCCCTGCCGTCAGCAGAAACCATCCGACGGAACTGTCGCTACACACCCTTAAGATATCCCTAAACCCTGATTTGTGTTGCTGTGCCTCTCCCGCCCCTGGTATGGCGTCTCTTGGTGAAGCATCCTACCCTAGCTTTGGACCGCAGCTCCATTTCCATTTGTGTTCGCCCTGCTGGGAGATCCACATGGTGACATAGCTGCATTTTGCAGCGGAAAGAACAAGAGCATCTTATCACAATTCGAGCAGCAAACAGCTTGCTGCAATTCCGAACCCCGAACCCTTGAGCTATCTACGCGAGACTCCGTGTGTTGCACAACTTCTACGATCGTTCCAAGCACAGAAACTGGAGCATAGCCCACTGGAGCAGTTTAACAGCAGTCTACAACGGATTTTGCTAGCGTCACGACGGATGCGAAGCTCCAAACCTGCAGAAAATCTAAACGTCCTCAAGCCTGATCTCCAAACCCCAAAACACTACTTCGTTTCGGCGAAGTGGAGAAAGAGTCATTGCACTTTAAAAAAACACTGCTTCATTCAACCTTAAGCCTCTCCTTGAGCCTCCCAGTTTCGTAGGCTCTTTGCATCGCTGGCCTACATCTGCCCGCTGTCCTGCGGCTGCTGGGCGGATCCTCCGCCCGACTTCTGCCCGCGCAGCTGCAAGGACCGCCTTCATTTTGTTTTTGCATTTTCTGTAGGTTAAGTTTTTACGTATACCCATAGTATATATATGTATGTGTATATATATATACATATGCACACACGTATACACATATTGTTGCTGTTTCGCATGATTTTTTGGGTATCATGTATTATACAAGCATTGGTATATGCATATGTGTACAAAGATATATTCTACAAAGCATTTTTCATATGCTTATTCTGTCAGTTCAATTCCAGGTACAGCACAGTTTATGTCATATTTTTTACATGAATATATATATATATATATGTACACTCTATAATAACCATGAACATACACATGCATATATACATATGTATGTATGTATGTATGTTCGTATCATAAAACAGAGCAGTGGAATATAGGCAGGTTGCAAGTCTGAATATAGTATCATATACAGACACATAAGGTCATGTAAGCAAAAGCAACATCACACACGGGTAGAGTATAGTATGATACTGAATATTGTTATGAGGATACAGTATCAAAGTTTCATAATCTAGCCCACGGGGAGATAAGACCATATAGTATAATGCAACATAGTGCACAACATCCGATATTGGAGTGGGGTATGGTATGATGCAGTATAACATAATCGTCCATAGCTTAATGCAAAGTACTACAAAATAAAACATGAAAATGTAAGACAATATATTGTTAAGTCACGAAAATACAATAAAATAACGTATAATATACCATAATGTAACATGTTTGAAGAATGCTGGGTATATCCCATGTTACGTTCCACATGCTTCAAGGTATGTGCTGTATGTTGTGCAGTTTCACGGTATGTACATGTATGTGTATGTACATGTATATCACTGTACGCTATATACAATGGTTGCTAAGGTTCTATTTCTTAATTTATTGTATATCATATCTCCTGTTACATAGTAAAATGTACTACATAAAATATAGTGTTCTCTCCAGTTGTGTTATACATTACATTGAATTTGTTCGTTTTTACAGTGTTTTCCTATGTGTATACATACATACGTATGTATGTATACATATATATATATATATCTATATATATATATATATATATATATATACATACTTGCATACATATATGCATGTATGCATGCATGTATGTACATAAGTATATATATATATGTGTGTGTGTGCAAATATTCCTTAGCATACTATATGTTGTTTCATACGTGTTTCCCGTTCTTTTCACTACTTAGGTGTACATCTACTGAATCCTTGTAACATATGATGACACCATGTTTTAGTAGGGTTCAGGGCTTACAGGCCTTATGATCCTGGAGTTTTACATTCTCACAACTGGGCACACTCCAGCCGGACCGTGTTGGCGTTCTTAACAACTAGTGGTGAACGTGTCCCACCTATAGCCCTCTCCAAACACTCCCGAAGAAAACAGTTTCCACAAGGCACCCCCGCCCCCCCCCCCAACCAAAAAAAACATAAAACAACGTCCTGTATCCAAGAAGCTGGTAGGGCCCAAACGGCAAGTATCCTACGCTGTCCTGTGCCCCTTCTCAGGGTTTTAGGGTTGTTCATTTAGGGACAACAGCCGAGAATGTGAGGTGTTGTTAGGTGAAAATGCGTGACACGCATGGCTGATTTCTCCAGGCCTGTGGTGATGAGGCCAACTTCCCAGCAAATGCGAACCTTGGAATTAGCTTTCAGAGTCTAAGGCATGTTTGGGTGTTGGGTTTAGGACCTATTTGGTTAGGCTTCAGGATTGCAGGTCATGGGTTTTGGAGTTTTAAGAGCCCATACTGGCGCAATTCACATCGTGCCAGCAATGTTTGAACATTAAGACCCCAGGCGCTGGTTTGGGTGCATCATAGTCATAGTCTGCAGGAGCTTAGATGACAAGAAAAAGAACGGTGGTTTGGCTCCTGGGGAACCCCTGTCTGCTGAACAGGTTTACGCTGTCGGGTTTAATTTCGGCTTCAACTCCACAGAGCTTGAAGCCCTACACAGAAGAAAATGCATGAAATGTGAGGTGAGAGGCGACTGTTGTAGAAGTGCTGATGGTTGAGCCGTGTCGTCTTGGGCTGTTGCAATGCGGACCGCTGAACTCTGTTTGACTCGTAACCTAGCATGAGCAAAAGGGGCTCTCAGAGAATCAGCCTTAACCGCACGGTTTGCATGGCTACTTGCACAAGTCCGAGGAACATTGCCAGCTGTGTCGATGCAAAGCAGTACGGCATCTGTGGTGTTCCCGAGCCTGGTCTCGATTTAGGATAACAGTTGCAGGCTCAAGGGCAGGGCTGCGGGGTTTAGAGTCCCGCAGCAGCAATCCCGTTCAGGTAAAACGGTGGAAGCCATCACGTTTTTCCATCTTCAACTTGTAGATAGCAGTCCTGAAGAAGGGGCTTGAGCAACTATCCAATGCATAGCGATGACGATGGCAGGAAGTGTAAACATAGATGCAGCAAGATGTTCATCACAAAGCTCGTTGCCATCATGTCACTGCAAATATCACACACACACACACACTACGACAAACTGTGATGTAACATACCATAACCATTAACAAGTAGATAATGCCATAATCGGAGTTGCGGGTGGTTTTGCCTTGGGATCTGTCTCGAGGGGTAGCCCTAAAAGCAGTTGAGGCGAGGCAGTTGCACGGTTTGAAGAACCTCGTGCCCACAAGCTTCTTCGAACCCACCGAGCTGGCACGCGAAGTAAAGTTCGCACTAAGATCCTACATGACAAGATGTTACACCCTCAACCGGTTTCAGCAGGAAGAGACAGAGAGAGAGAGAGAGAGAGAGAGAGAGAGAGAAAACAAAGAAGTGTCTCCCCCTGCACAATCCTGATTCGAGGAGACGTGCAAAATCAGGTAGAATTGTAATGCAAGGGGAGACAACATTCCAGGACGTGTCGTCAAGACTTTAGTCGGCCATCTCCTGAAAGATATTCCTGGAATGTTGGGTAAGGGGGACAATGTTTGCGAAAGTGTACGTACATCCAATGTTCGATATCGCACAATTTATGGGCTTAGCTGAAGGATGTCCTACACTCGCTCCTCACTCCCCCCTGTCCCGATAAACTATCGGGTGGGCCTGGCGCCCCGGGGCCTTGAACGGCCCCTATGCTCGGGAGAGAGAGTTGAAAGAGAGAGATATAGAGAGAGAGAGAGAGAGGGAAACAAAAATGCCAACTTTCGGTTGCAGGCTTCAGCCCCGGACCCCCCAACCCAGTGCTGTCATCAGGCGGAGGCAGCGAGATACTGCGCCGGCACCTGCGGCATCTGCAATGGCACTGCAAATACCGCAGTGTGTCCCGATCCCTCGGATGAAATTCGACACTACCTGGACCCCAAAAGTATGTAGAATAATAGCCTTTTATGGGTATTGGGCCATTATTTTGCCTACTTTGGGGGGTTTAGGTAGGCCTGAGGCCCTGCAGTAAGACAGAGCCCAGAGCTGTGGATTTCCGAAGCTCCGGAGTATCTCATAGCCGAAAGTGCAACCCTTCACCTCAAACGCTATGATAAGCATAAGGCCTAAACCCTACGTGAACCCTGGATGTATTTTGAAGCCTCGAGCCCGGATGCCCTGAAGCCTCACGAAGCCTCAACCCTCAAAATCTGAGGGAGGGAAAAAAGCTCAAACTCTAAACCCGAAGCCTTTTAAAGCCTACGAAAACTCGACTCTCTCTAGACAATCGCGGCGCTAAGTGCGAAACACCTCGTAAGGTCTTTAGAACAAAGAGCATGAAGAAATAAACACGACCGTGTAAGCCTGAAGATGGCGCGAAGGTATGCGAGCAGTCGCTTCAAATTTCCGAGGTGGTGTCTATGTCACCCTCTTGCGCTCTCTCTGTCTCTCTCTCTCTCTCGCTCTCTTGTGCTCTCTCGCTCTCCCTCTCCCTCTCGCTCTCCCTCTCTTTTTCTCTTTCTCCCTTTCTCTCTCTCCCTTTCTCTTTTCCTGTGCAAGTATATATACACACACATATATATATATAACCATGTCTATGTAGAGCTATACCTATGTAAACATGGCAAAACCCAGGATGGTCCGCTGCCCGACTTGTTCGGCCTGGGTACTTGCGCAGACGTCCAGGCACTTGGCCCTCGATGCTACACTTGAGTTTGATACTTATGCTTAAGATTCAAGTGCTTTCAGCATCGTCGAGTATGTTGGGTTGGTTTTGGACTTGGCAAGTTTCACGTTCAGGGCTTGTTTTTGTTTGAGGGGGTTGCATCCAGTCCACGATTGCGCAAATGCCCACGGCTCGTTTCCTCGGAAACCTAAATCTCAGAGCGGATACTGCAAATCATTCGTCTCCGGTCTTTGTGAAATGTTCGGAATCTGGTGTCTTCCTTCCTCAGACCTGAACTTGTACGGCTTTGGCGCCAAAGTCAGGGCTTCAAAGTATAGTAGTTTCTTCGGTTCGCTTGTTAAGGGTGTTGGTGTTCGAAGCCCAGGTCTTGGACGGGTCTGCCCAAGGTTAAACTCCTGAGTGAACAAGAACAAAGAAGAGGGGGGAGTGAGCGAGGGTATCACGGGTTTGGGTTTGGTACGGGCAACTCGGCCGTGTTGGGTCAGATTTCAATCCTGTTTGGAGTGAAATTCCGCAATAGCATCAGTCTAGCATCGCTAAATCTCGAAACAGAGATTAAATCTCTGTTTCAAGATTTAGCGATGCTAGTCTGATGCTATTGCGGGGAGGGCTATGCGTTTGCAACGTCTTCTTCATACAGCGTTGGTGACACAGGCATGAGGGTTACCGTGCCCTGTACTATAGGGGGGCATTTTTATAACTGTTAGAATTTTTGTGTTTTGATATTATCCTCATGAGTATTATGAATAGTATTATGTCCATAGAGAGAGATGTGTCTTCCGGTCCGGATGCTGCGCGAGGCCGCGGGCTGGTGCCCCCTGCTGAACTTCTTGGATTCCTCGGTGAGCCTCCCGGCAGAAATCAGCAAGGCTTGCACATCTCGCCACATGTCGGCTTACTCGGGCGAGTATGCTCCTGATGTCCTGTGTACAGTTGCTGGCATGATATCGGCGGTGCTCAAGCTTATACAGATTCAAGCACAAAGACATATCATCATTTCAAGATTGAGGGCAATGCAGAGGAAGATCTGCTGATTAAGACTGCTACCCCATATCTCTGACTCTTGTGTCAGGCAGGTGGCAAAGTTGACACAAGGGACCCCCTAAGCCAAGCACCCGAGCTGGCAGCACGCAGGCCCAAACCCTCTAATCCGTGTAGACCATCATTACAGTGCGGCAGCCTCCCGTGTCAGCCCCCACCAGAGCATGGTCGCGTCTTGTGGCATCCTCAACCCACGGAAAACATGGCCAGAGTGATCGGTTTAGGGTTGAGGGGCCCAGGGTTCCGGCCCTGTGAGGAAGCCCTTAACAGCCCCTTAAGGTCCCCTCGAGTTGCGGTCTACGTTCAAAAACCCGCTCTTGAATGTGAAAGCAGCGAACCCCAAGGTTTCATTTGTGGCCGATCGTGCGGTACATGCACCTGAGAGTCACGGATGACTCGGCAAGAGCGCGTGTTGTATATAGTTGTTGGTTATCAGATCAATCGAAGAAGAAGAAGCAGCTAGACTCGACCCGGACCCTTCAGTTCAGCAGATCCCAAACCCCAATTTTTTTAACTCTACTCCCTCCTACTTCGGGGCCCGCATTGCAGGGCTTATAGGGTTTAGGGCCGCCCCCAAAAATTTCAGACTCTTCGGAGTTGTTCTCTGTTGTGCGGCAGCTTATCGAAGCGAACCACCGGGCTGAGCCAGTACGCCTTGGGGTTCTTTAGGGTTGAGCTGCAGGGTTCAGGATTGAAGAGTGTAGAGATGTAAGAGTCGAGTAGCAAAAAAGAGTTTAAGCGAGAGAAAGTCAACGTGAATCTGTCTTAACTCGACATCGTGAAACAGCCTGATTTGTATGCACCTTCCGCCCAAAATTCACGGGCTCCGGTCAGCCAGGAGACCCATGTTTTAGCACTCCCATGTCCCGTAGCACCGTAGCAGGTCAAAACGAAGTTGAAATTTCAGCAGGCCGAAGCCCATGCAGAGACAGTAAGTGCTTATTCCTGAGGAGCTGAAGCTTCCTTTCGCAGGTCTTGTTTATGTGACAGATACCAAATTCATGGTATGGCTGCACTTGTCTTAACATAAATTGAACCATGTTTACTGGGTGCCGGGCTTCATGCTTCCCACCATGGTTTGTACTCTGCTCAAACATCACAGTCACGGCGAGGCCAACGAACCCGATACACCTCAACAAAGCCAACACCCAGTGTCATCGTCGAAGTCACAGACGTCGGCTGACGGCCAAAGGCCCTTTGCCTGTCTTGGAAAGTCACGTCACTATACCAGAGGCGCAGCAGTGGCACTTGAAAAGGAACAGCGAGGTAATCAATGACCCAGGATCGTGCGAATATTCTCACTTGAGCGATTCGGTTCTGGGTGTTGCAACACGTTGCAACACAGTTGTTGCATTGGTCACCCAAAGTAATTATTCAAGGGCCTTTCCGGTGCATGATCCTGTCACCTCAAGCCATCGCAATTGCATCATGCCTGATAAGCACCCAAGACTTGAGAACAACACTGAGCTCATTTCAGTTCTCTCTTTCTCCCTATCTCCCTGTGTCTCTCACTCTCTCTCTCTCTCTCTCTCTCTTCCCCGTCTCGGGCCTTGATTCGAGTCTGCTGCAGTGGGAAGCATCCCAAAACGCGCGGGCTTTGTTCAGAAAGCCCGGAGATTCGTCCGCCGGTCTTTGGTCTTTGGGCAGCCGTTTGAGGCTCGCCACGCATAATGGAGCCCCCATCCAACAGAGGATCAAAGCTCCCAACAAAAGGATCTCGAAATCACTTCTAGGGGGCATGCCCAGCCCCATCGCCTCAGCTGTGGAAGCCCGGCCTTCTCGAAGACTCAGCCAAGACCTTCATACTGAACATGCATCGCGAGATCCTTCGTAGAAGGACACTGACACTGAACCCGAAACCCTAAACCCTTTCAAACAAAACCTAAACCCTGTCGGACTTGCTTGAAGCCGCTGGGTTGTGACGCAATGTCGGCCGCCAAGTTTGAGAAGAACTTGGCAGCTTTAGAGCGACGCCTCCCGACGGGAACAGAGCCTTTGAAAGGGTTCGAAAAGGGTTGCTATAAGCCGGCTACTGGGATGTTTTTGGTATAAGGGTTGCTACAATGGGAATTATGACGGTTCCTTTGTGGATGTTTTAAGGCTTAGGGTGTTGGGAATTAGTTACTACTGTAGTGGTTTGTTTAGTGTTACTGGGGTTTGCTTGGGTTTAGGGGTATTGGGGTTACTAGATGTTACTAGTAGGGCTTTCGGGGTTTAGGGGTCTAAGGCTTGTGATTGAGAACGGTTCTCATTCGGGGGATTCTGTGTCGAGGGTGCAGTCATGCGCAGTCGAAACGGACACCGGTTGGACATTTCGGGGGCCAGGTTCGCTGTGTACCTAAACTGGTCCCTCTGGTTTTGCAAGGAGTCCTGAATCACATCCCCTAAATTTACAGCTATACTTAATTAATGATAGGGGAACCCTTAACCTCATGGTGAAGAGATATCACTCCTGCCTGCATCAGGGCCTGCATTGGGATCCGATAGAAGAGGGAGGAGAGTTGGTTCCAGCCGGTGGACGGCGGAAGACAGTAACCAAACCCCAAGCCCCAGTCCCTGAAAGCGAGAGAACCTAAGTCAAACAACCCAACACCAAAAGCTAACCTAACTTCCTACGCCCTAAACCCTGCACAACCCTAAACCGACAGAATCCCCCTAACCCTCAAACCCTTGTAAACCCTTAGCCCCAAAACCCTACGTCTCACTCAGCAGACTCCGAACCGTATGCCTCGCCTGGATTGTCCATGATTGTCCGAGTTTGAGCGCCGAAACCGAAAGAATCCAACGTCGGAGGACTGCGAGATGAGATGCGGATGGAGATTGCAACCCTGGCGGTCCGGGTGCAGGACTTGGAAGAGGACCTGAGGCCACGACTGAAAAAATACATGTGTAAAGAAATATATACACACATTTATAGATATACACACATAAAACTTATGTGTGTGTGTGTGCACATCATATATATATATATGTATATATACACACACATATATATATATATATATATATGGTTATTATATATCTATCCAACTATCGATGTATCTTTTTAGCTGTTTATCTACATACTTACCTATCTGTCCTCATGCGCATATTTTTCAACACCTATATATATATATATATATATATATGTATATGTATATATATATATATATATATATATATATGTTTGTTTAGTTTGTGTGCTTCGGTTGCTTGTGTGTTGCTTGTTTGCCTGTTTGTTGTTATTTGCTTGCTTGTGTGCTTTTGCGTTGGTTGGTTGGTTTGTGTGTGTGTGCCGGTCCCTCTGCTATCTATGTATATGCATATGTACATATATATATATATATATACATACATATCTCTGTGTGTGTGTCTGACTGTATGTATATACGAATATATATATATATATATATATATATATATACACATATTCGAGGTTTTGTTCTTAGTGCGTCTAGCGCTGTTTTTGAAAGGTAAACCTTAACTTTAGGAATTTGGGTGTTAGTTTGTTTATTCTGGCTCCTGTTATCAATCTTCGATTGTTCATATTTGTAATGTTATCATTTGTATTATGGCGGGGGGGGGGTCACGGGTCGCAGAAACCGGCGCTGCCTTGTTGTCAACTGTTTTCAGCATGTTTGTTGTTATTGCTGTGTTTGTTGTTACTGTTATGCTTCCTGGAACTATGACGGTCGTCATCGTCATTATATGTAATAACTGGTTGTTGATAGCACTATTAGTGCCCTGAACATTGTCATTTGAGCCGTATGCCTACTTCTGACATTACTCCTATCATCTGTTGCTGCTATCTTCGCTGGTTTGTTGGCATCACTGTCATCATGCTAGATATTGCTGCGTGTAATTATTACTACCACTGCTGTTGTACTATGACAATAGTCTTTTTTCTATTGTTGCGATGTTTATTAGATTGTTGGTTTCCTCGTCGTTTGATTTAGGAGCAAAATTCCAAATTGCGGCTTCCTATACCTGAATCAACCTGACTGCAGGCAGGGGGCGCGCTCTGCTGCCAGGGAGGCCCTTTGTCTGCGGTTTTCTGGGGAGGTAAGGTGTTTTAGACACCAAGCTTGCCTCAGGCCAGAACCCTAGCTATAACTATAACGCTAGCTATCGTCTCTAAACCCTAAAACCGTCAACCCTAATCAAGCCCAGCGATTGTACTGCATCTTTTTGGATTTGGGAGGTCCCCTCAGCATGAATATGGAGGCATGCTCAGGATTTTGATCCTCCACATCCGAGTGGGCCTAGGATTTCCGGGTTGTCACGGGATTTGGCTTGAGGTCGTATTGGGCCTAACCCCTGGACCAAGGGATGTTTATGGCTAAGGGCCGCAAACTTAATAAAGCGCTTTCTGAAACCCGTGAGTGCACCGTGCTAGTTCACCGACGCTTGTCCGAGTTGCGAGGGCATAGACCCTTTCCTGACGTTCGGGCTTGTAAGCATGCCGCGTAGCAGCTCACGGTCAAGAAACAGGATTTTATACCCGCTAAATACCTCAAATGCTTGCAAGGCCTGGCCGAGCCAGCGGCGTACATGGCGGTAGCAAACAGACCCCACTAGACCGCATAAGCGCCAAACCCTCAACTGCTAATTGAGCCCTACATCGTGGATTCCCAGCGCAAAACCTGAAACATTCTGATTCGCTGCTGGACGAGGCTCCAAGAGACTCTTTCCAGGTGCAGGAGGAGATGCTGTTGCCAGGCTCCATATCGGGGCTTTCCAAGGATTGGAGCTCTTGTAAGAACCTACTGCCCAAGGCACAAGTGCCCTACCTTTGCAGGGTTCCTTGTTATGGGTTCCTTGTATCAATCCTTACCAGGTTGGGTTTTGTAGCGTCCAGATATGGTCTACATAACTCTCATCGTGGGGTTTCTTTGAATCGTCTCATGCCTAAACTCGATATTGCCAGCCTGAACAATTAGATGTATTATTCTTGTGAGGGTTTGCAAGGTGTAAGATATTGCAGTATACTAAACCACAGCGAAGCCCACCTCAAGTAGCTGCCTCACATGAGTGTTCCTTGTGAGGTTTTTCAGGCTCGTGGATTCCAATGTTACAGTTCAGGGTTTAGGCTTTCTTTTTTTTTGGCAAGGGTTCGCGTGGAGAGGTTCTACATGTGACGTTCTGTGGAGCGCGCGTTTTCCTGACATTTTGCAGTCTCGTTGTCTTTCTTGATCTGCGGTTCCTCGCCATGGCTCCGAACCGTAAGCCCTGAACTGCCCTTCCCCTAAGGGTCCATGTACCGAAATAGTATATACATTGGCCTTAAAGTAGGCCCTATATAGGTACATTGGGCCCAAAGTATATACTATTTGGGTACACGGACCCTAAGGGTTCTAGCATCGGCCCATCTCTGCATCTTCGGCAGGGAGCACTTTCAGCGCCGTCGTGCCCGAAAAGGAGGTCATGCGTTTCTCTTGTCTGGTGGGAGGGTGCTGCTGTTTGTGCGTGAGGGTAACCTGGCAAAACACGAAGCCAGATGCAAGGAAATCACAACAAGGCATCAGAACAATGCAGGTTCTTTGGGGTTACGGTAGGCCCCGGCCCCCGGAACCTTAGAGAAGTGCGGCTCTAAGTAAGTCAGCAGCCCAACTCGAAGGTCCTGCATCGAACATTAAAGGCGAGACCGAAGGCACCTTCCTCCGTTCTTTCATGTTGTCATGGTAGCCATACCTTCTGCTAGTATCACTAGTTGTGACTGCTGGCCCATCCTTATTATCGCCTCATTAGCTGCCCAGATAAATTAACCTTCGACCTCGTTTGGCCTGTAAGCAGTTAACCCTGAACCTTGAACCCAAATACCCTTAAGCCTTCGCATGTGTTGAGCTGTGCCCTTCTTCGGTGGGCGGAGAAGGTGCTTGTTTACTTAGAACAGGTTTTGGGGGCACATGTACTATGGTCGCCAGATGTCGCGAGTTGGCGTGTCGGCAGATGGCATGGCACATCTACAGAAACCACAGGTGCATTGAGATTTGCTGTAATTCAGAGACAGCGCGACGGAGGGGAGGGAGGGAGGGAGGGTCGAGAAAGAGAAAGAGCAAGTAGCCATTTCCCTTCTATACTCATACCCCAAAAATACTTCATTAATCCCACAAGCGCAGGAGACTGCCACTTGCACGTCGGACAACCAGAAGCCGATGGACGAACCAGTCGAGAACAGGAGCCCTGCATCTCACATAGCCAGAGGTCTCATGATATAGACGGCTGAGAACCTGGCCATGCTATTCTTGGTAATTTCTTGTGTAGAATTCAATAGTGACAGTACCATCTACTCCTAAGCAACCTTCTAGTGGTTCAGGCGAATATGTTGCCTCCGGAACCCTTTGAAGCTTCTGCATGCTCGTCAGGAAGATGCGCGTCCGTGCCTCCATCTTCGAACCTGAGGCAGCTGGCTTGCAGAGAGCTGCTCAGAAAGTTTGTCAGTTCATAAAGGCACGAACAATGTTGATGAAGCGCGATCCACGAATACAGCTTTGCATGCTGAGGCTCTACTCCTGCGATTGCCAGCCCTTGGATACTTGCGCAAACATGCAGGAATAGCAACACTTGCCTTGCAGACCCACCGCTGCGAACTGTCTCGGGTGAGCGAGATCTTGAAGAAATCCTCTTCTAAATGCATCTTCCCCGTGTTTCGAACGAGCCCTTTACCCTGAACCCTAAACCTCTACTGTGGGGCAAACTAGATTGTAGTTTGACTCCTGCTTGGAGTCCGCAAAGCGTTTTTGTAAATAGGTCTAAGTTTAACTCTTCTGAGGTCCTGTACCCTGATCCCTAAACCGTAAGGATCCTGTTACTTGATCTATGTTGGCAGTTCCCCATTTCTGAACCCCACACAGTATGCGGAGCGACCCTTCATCCGGCAAACCCCGACAGCCATTTTGGCGCGAGTACCAGTGAGGTGCAGCAGCAGCTTCTGTTCCCCGAAAGGTCCTTCCCTTCATTCTCGCAAGCATGATGCGGGCATTTCGCAGGTTTCCCGTCGCCAAGGCAGGATGGTAACGTAGGGGCCTAAATAGTTACCAATACTATCTTGGGGGGTTCCTTATTCTAATTTTTGTGTAAGGGGCCGGAAACCGATTCTAATTAGTAAGGCCCCTATAGCAGCGTTGTGGTCCATAGGGTTACAAGACCTGGGGCCTGGGGTTTCGGAGTTCGGATTCGACGGTTCAGAGTTTCGAGTTGCAAGGTTCAGCACTTAGCTAAGCCCTGAACCCTTATGGCCTAAGCTTCCAACCATAACAGTCCTAAGACACATGAGAACATACACACACATATTATAGATATATGACATATGTACATATATACACATACACCCCTATATATGCGAAGATGTATATATATATATATATAGAGAGAGAGAGAGAGAGAGAGAGAAGTGTGTTCGTAGATCAAATATAGAGATGAATATTTTGAACCCATAGACCAATGAAACAATCTATTTATCTATATCTATCTAGAGAAAAAAGAACACACCTTCACTCCCAGGCAGCCAAGCTTGTCCAGCCGCGGGCCCTGCCAGCTCAGTACGCCCGCGCCTTCTCGGCCCAGCCAGAGGCTCCCTGGTGTTTAGTAGGGAACGACGTTGAGGACTACTATAGGGGACTGTAAGGGATTGTCATAGGGATCTATAAGGGTTTAGGGTTTAGGGAATGGGGGAATGGATATTGCGGACTATTATCGGGGATTACATAGGGACTTCTTCAGGGATCCATTCCCCCATTCACTACTAAGCACCAGACAGTAGGCCCTAAACCCTTGTCCCTAGAGATCCCTTATAGATATCCCTACCCTAAACCCTATAGATCCCTTATAGTAATCCCTAACCCTAAACCCATATAGATCCCTTAAAGGAACCCTTAAGGAACCCCGTGCTAAGCACCAGACAGGCGTTCAAGGCGGCTTACGAAGCTCACGTGGCCGAGCGTGCCGCAGAAGGTGGGTCCGGGTTGTCCTTTCAGGGCTGTGGGGTTTAGGGGTTTAGGGGTTTAGGGTTTAGGGGTTTAGGGTTTCGGGGCCGTTTCGGGCTGAGGGGTTAAGGGGTTAGGGTTTAGGGGTTTAGGGTCTCGGGGAGCCGGTGCGGGCTAAGGGGTTAAAGGGTTTAGGGTTTGAGTTTCTTTTCTTCAGGGGTACCCGGCAGTCTCAATAGGCCTGGATGCGAAAAGGGTTTTAGTTTCTGTCGCTCTTCTGTGGTTGCATCCCTTGTGAAGTGAGACGGCTCTGCTGTTGAGGGGTGCTTGCGGACACACAATCCAAGCCTATGCTGACAAGGCTTTCAGGTAACTGTTCTTGAAGACGGTTCCTTATAAAGGTATCCTCCAAGAGCTCCCATAGATGGACTAGATGAAAGGGCCTCGTCTATTTCCTGCTAAAATCGCTCTGAGGTGGTCTGCCACCTTTGGCCTTGGATTCCAGTCAGGCCGAGTCCGTGGTCGAGATGCTGAAGAAGGCTCCTGCCGATGGTGCTTTTTACGTTGACCTCCTGCGCAACCGCGTGAACCCGGGTGTCGACGACTCCAGCTATGTGAAGGCAAACTTTCTCCGCGACATCATCCATGGCACCGCCTCGACGCCCTTGGTTTCCAAGGCGGATGCGGTGGAGATGCTCGGATGGATGCAGGGAGGTTACAACGTCGCTCCACTTGTGGAGGCCCTGGATCTCGACCAAGACCTGGCCTCTGGCGCCGTGACAGGCCTCAGTCGCATGATCTTGATGTTCGACGCTTACCATGACGTCGAGGACAAGATGAAGAAAGGAAACCCTTTTGCCAAGCAGGTGATTGAGTCCTGGGCAAGCGCTGATTGGTTCACAAGTCGCCCCACAGTTCCGGAGAAGGTGACTCTCTGCGTCTTCAAGGTTACCGGAGAGACAAACACCGATGACCTGTCGCCTGCCCCGGACGCCTGGTCACGTCCAGACACTTGGTCCTCCCTATCAGTGTTTCGTTCTTGAGCCCGAGCAAGGGTTTAGAAGCTTTCAGGCTTTCGGAGGGTTTATAGAGGGCAAGTAATTACTCAAGGACATCCCCCTGCACGCCTTAGCGATGCTGAAGTTTCCTCGTGACGGCATCACAAATGCCGCGCAGCAGATCGCAGACTTGAAAACGAAGGGTCACCAGCTCGCCTATGTCGGAGACGTTGTGGGCACTGGCTCTTCGCGCAAGTCGGCTACGAATTCCATCCTTTGGTACATGGGCCAGGATATCCCTTGCGCTCCGAACAAGCGCACCGGTGGCTTCGTGATCGGCGGCGTGATTGCGCCCATCTTTTTCAACACCATGGAGGACTCCGGTGCACTGCCCTTGGAGATGGATGTCAAGGACCTGAACATGGGTGACCTCATCGACCTTTGCGTGTATGATCAAGTTACTGGGTTGTTCTCAAGGAACCTACTTTTGCAAGTTACCAGAACAGGGATCTATAGAATCTATAGTGGGGTCTATAGAATCTGTAGTGAATGGTTTTTCCTTATCACGGCAGCTTAAAATGTCCCAAGCAAGAGCCCAGGTTATCAAGAAGCATGGCACCGACGAGGTCATCACCAAGTTCGACCTCAAGCACCCGGGCTCTCACAGCCTTTGTTTGCGTTTAAGTCCTAGTAGTCGAGCAGGTAACCTTTAACCTTTTTTGGGTAGTATAGTCCCTATATAATCCCTATATAACGAAAAAGGTTAACCTTTAGATCCCCATGGTACCCGACAAGTAGGAAGTTGAGTTAGCATTTGGCAGGAGCTTTAGTCATGAAGATTATGCCATTTCTGCGAGGTTATGCTACGCCTGCTTTGCTTTCTTTACTCCAGTAATTTTGGTTTCTTAAGAATTCTGGGCTCTTATTGTTTAAGTTACCTCGATTAAGAAAAGGTTCTGCTATGCCGGTGCTCTCCTCCCTCTTGTAACATAAGCCTGCAGCCTTGAAATACAAGTCAGAGGCCTGATAGCCTTAACCCCTTATATGCCCTACACTGTACCTACACGCTAAGACCCCCTAATCCCTAAACCCTTAAACCCTATACTGGAAGCTGGCTGCGAGCTAGAGTAGTGGAGATACTGTGGACTATGTTGAGCCTTGCCTGCCTTGTGCGAGTGTGAGCGTCGAAACCCTAAACCCTAAACTCCTAAACCCTAAACCCTAAAGCCCCTAAAACCCTAAACCCAAAGACAGGCACGGGCTGATGCTGGACCAGGTGCAGGCGGGTGGCCGCATCCCGCTGATCATCGGCCGCGGACTCACCAACAAGGCCCGCGAGAGCCTGAATTTGGGCATGTCCACCACCTTCAAGCAGATCCTCGGCTGTTTTTAATTAAAGGGCTTAGGAGTTTATCATGGGGACCCTCAGGGGGGTTAGGGGCGGGGGGTAGGGGGGCCTTAATGCCCATAATGAGGACCTAATAAGGCAGGCCTAGTTAAGGAAATAAAGGGGCTTCAGGTGATTTTTCAAAGGGCTTTTGGGCTTGAGAGGATTTTGGAAGGGGCTTTTGGGGCGTTTGCGTTTAGGGTTTAGGGCTTCTGGTTGAGTGGCCTTACAAGTGTTCGTGCTACTGTAGAAGAAGCCCGACTCGATGTTACAAGGTGGCGGATATGTGGTTCACAGCGCAGTTTCCCATCAACCTGCTGTGGTTATCTTACGATGGACTTGCTTAGATTACGCATCGCCAAGCTACATAGTAGGTAACATGCACATTGTGGGTTCTTGAGGATGGCAATTGGCATGACTTTCCACCCTAAACCGAGGAGCAGTATTCCTTGAAACAAGAGCCCAGGACGGCCCAGCAACCCTAAACCCTATATTCCTTGAGCCAAGAGCCCGGGATTTTGAAAAGAGAGCCAGAAACCAGGATGGCCCACCCTAAACCCTAAACCCCACAAGAACCCAGGATGGCCCAGCCAGATGTGAATGTGAAGGGCTTCACACTAGCTCAAAAGATGGTTGGAAAGGCCTGCGGCCTTGACGGCGTGGTGCCGGGGGCTTCTTGGTCTCTCATTCAGGAGCTTCCAGTTTTGGGCTTTGTTTATGTTTTCATAACTTCCTAAACCTCCCAAACTAGGTAAAATAATGGCCCAATACCCATAAACGGCTATTATTCTACATACTTTTGGGATCCAGGTTGGGATGTAATTATGGTAAGCACATAAGAAGATTTTTGTGCTTTTTCTTGTCGTAATTCACGTCAAGTTCCTCGTACAAGAGCCCAGGCTTACTGCGAGCCCAGCATGGGGACCGTGGGCTCCCAGGACACCACCGGGCCCATGACACGCGATGAGCTCAAGGATTTGGCTTGCTTGGGATTCCAGGCGGACCTCGTGATGCAGTCTTTCTGCCACACTGCTGCCTACCCGAAGCCTGTGGATGTGATCACGCACCGCACCCTGCCCAAGTTCATCGCCGATCGCGGCGGCGTTGCCCTGCGCCCGGGCGACGGAATCATCCACTCCTGGCTGAACCGAATGCTGCTGCCAGATGAGGTCGGAACTGGAGGAGAGCCCAAAGCCAAAACTAGAGAGCCGTGGGGAGCAAAGCTGTGAACCAACATAGCTGTGAGGAGACTTTCACCCTAAACCTGTGGAATACGGCATTCAAAAATCTAAAACTAAGCTCAATGCTTCTTGTACCTCCCTGTTATGTGGGTTCGTTCTCGCCACGAGGAAAGGGAGCAAAAGCCCTAAACTCCAAACTTCCTTGACCCTAGACCCAAAGTGAGGATTTCCGAAAATAGGGGACACTAAGATAGTACCCTATAATTTATAAGGACCCTAAAAGAAAATACCCCTATAATTTTCGTAATCTCTAAACCCTCAACCCTTTATAGAACCCTTATAGATCCCTTTAAGGAACCCTTAAAGGATCCCTTTATAAGGTACCCCTAATTCCCGGAAACTCCCCAAAGTGAGGAGACTCTCACACCCGCTTCCCTTTGGGCATCTCCTTCCCAGCCGGCTCCGGGCTCGTGGCTTTCGGGGCTGCCACCGGCGTGATGCCCCTGAACCTGGGCTTTGGAGTACCATACTTTAAGAATTCTTTTTCTTAATGGAACCACTATGAAATAAAAGTTTATACTTTTTTTCTCCCTGGTTGCTTAAAAAGCCCAGGAACATGCCCGAGTCGGTCCTGGTGCGCTTCAGTGCCTTAGCAGCTGAGTAGGTAACCTCTATCCTTTTGACTTTGCGGTCGTATAATCCTACTGTAACCTTTATCCTTTTGGGGTTATATAATCCTACTGTAACCTTTGTCCTTTGGGGGTTTTATGATCCTACTGTAACGTTTATCTTTCTGGGGTTATGTGATCCTACTTGTACCGTAATTGAGCAGGTTTGCCTTTTGTGGGGGCGCTCGGGGACTCAGCCCCTCAGGTGGCAAGATGCAGCCGGGAGTGACCTTGCGTGACCTGGTCCATGCCATCCCCTACTATGCCATCCAGCAGGGACTGCTGACCGTGGAGAAGAAGGTGAGGGAGAAAAAAGTATACGGGTGGTTGTCAAAATTAAGGTACCGTTTTGGGTACAGTACCTAAATATTAGGTGCGTATTTTAATAAGGACCCAAAAAGGGGCCCTAATTTTGACAACTACCCATATACCCCCCCAGCCAGAAACAATCGAGACCAACTCCCCATGGTGCAACACACCTTACTTCATACTTGGGGTACCCTGATTGTTTAACAAACCTTATAACCTTATCTTTTCTGGGCTCCTGACAGGGGAAGACCCCTAAACCTTTAAGCCCTACCTGGACCCTAAAGAAGCTGCCTTTTAAGTTTCCCCACTATGATTCCCTTATATGAGTTCTTATAATTATACGGTAGGTTATTTGGGATCATGGTAAACGCTAAGGCTCCTGCCAGGGGAAGAAGAACATAACCCTAAATCGTAAACCCCAACCGATACATACTCCCCAAACCCTATGTTGCTTGGACACTTTTTGGGATAATATCACCCACTATAAAGCTGAAAGTGTACACTGTTTTGGGCAACTAAGTCAAGGTGATACCTACACCCTGATATTTTGGGGGCTCCTGCCAGGGGAAGAAGAACATAACCCTAAATATAGGTCCCTTATAGTAACCCTTATAGACCCCCTTAACCCTACCATTCCCTACTAACCAAAGGTAAGTATGTGCTTTGGGTCGCTCCTGCCAGGGGAAGAAGAACATCTTCAACGGCCGAATCCTGGAGATCGAGGGCTTGCCGGACCTGAAGTGCGAGCAGGCCTTCGGGGTTTAAGGGGATTTAGGGATTTCTTTTGGGGGTGTTTAGGGTAAGGGTTTAGGGATCTTAGGGATTTTTTGGGTTTAGGGTTTGCGGGTTTAGGCTTGCAGGTGTAGGGTTTATAGGTGTCCAGCTGTTTAGGGTTTAGGTGTTTAGGTTTTCTTTTTTTTTAGTAGGGTTTCGGGCTGAAGGGTTTAGGGATGCAGGCCTTCGAGCTGTCGGATGCCTCGGCGGAACGGTCGGCGGCGGGCTGCACCATCAAGCTGAACGAGGAGCAAGGGGTGTTTTTTTTGCGAGTTCATGTGAAAATGTGAAAATGGAACTAAATAAGTACCTGTCAAAGTCTGTTCGATCTGATGAAGCATGCATATCAACTATAGGGATCTTCCTCCGTCTAAAAAACGAACATACTCCAGGACTCCGTCAAAGAGTACCTGACTTCCAACATCACGCTGCTCAAGTGGATGATCTCCGAGGGCTACAGCGATCCCCGAACACTGGCCCGCCGTGTCAGCAAGATGGAGAAGTGGCTTGAGAGCCCCACCCTCCTTGAGGCGGACAAGGAGGCCGAGTACGCCGCCGTGACTTACTGGCGCTTAAGGGGGCGTGGGAGAGAGGATCCTTTCAGTATCCCTTTGTAATCCTGGAAAGTAGTCTTTAAAATGGTCTTATTCAGATTCCCTCCTGCACTGTTCCTTAACCACCGTTGAGGTGATCAACATCAACCTTGACGAGCTGAAGGAGCCGGTTCTCTGCTGCCCTAACGATCCCGATGATGCCAAGACTCTCACTGAGATTGGAACCGCGGGAATTGATGAGGTTGCCTGGTCTCCCAAAGCAGCCCCCTCGTTCCCTTCCTTGTCAGTTGGACGCTCCCCCCTACCAGCCTTGCATTAAAGAGTTGCTGAAGAGAGCCTAGGTGTTCATTGGCTCTTGCATGACGAACATCGGCCACTACCGCGCAGCTGGAAAGATGCTGAGCCAGTTCGACGGCCAGTTGTCCACTCGCTTGTGGATTGCGCCTCCCACCAAGATGGACGAGGAGTGGTTTGATTCTTTTTCGGATGCTGCGTAGTGCCTCAACCCACTTGCAGAATATGCTTTATAGCAAGCATGAGCATCATCCGGCAGAAAGGGGCCATAATCTACCCTAGCCCCTTGGCCCCCTAAACCCTAAACCCTAAACCTACTTCTGCCTGGCTGTGTCCGAGTTGTGAGAGTGTAAACCTACTTCTGCAGACCTTGCCAGGCTTGTCCGAGAGTGAGTGTCAAAAAACCCTAAACCGTCTTACTGGTATCACCGAAACCCGGCATGGACCTGGAGGAGCAGCTCACCAAGGAGGGCTACTACTCCGTCTACGGCAAGGTGGGTGCCCGTACCGAGATGCCGGGATGCTCCCTCTGCATGGGAAACCAGGCCGGACTTCGAGCGTCTTGGGGAAATAGGGGACCCTCTTGTAGTGCCTTCAATAGTAGGATCCTTATTATAAAGCCCCCCAAATAAGGTACCCCTATTTATTTGGGAGATTCAGGGTTCAGGGTTGAGGTTCTGCTTCGAGGTGAGGCGGGGATGAGCACTGTTCTCCTGAAATAGAAAGGGTTGGGATTCTGGGGTTAGGAGCATGGGCGGACTCGCTGGCTGACACTAAGAGCTCAGCTGCAAAAAAGATCGTTGCATGTGCAAGCAGGCGCGAGTGGCCGACAACGCCACGGTTGTCTCGACTTCCACACGTAACTTCCCCAACCGTCTTGAGATGGAAATTTGGGATGATTTTACTTCTTCCTTCTGGTCTTATGTAAAAAATACTCATTAAAAGCTTCTTGCGGCCCGAAACTAAGCTCTCAGACGCTGAACCCCAAGCTGAAACCCAGGTCTTGGCAAGGGTGCCAACGTCTACTTGGCATCGGCAGAGCTCGCATCCGTTGCCGCCATCCTCGGGCGCCTGCCCACCAAGGAGGAGTACCTGAAGCTAGGTATGGTGTAGCCTTTGGGTGTTGTCAGCTTTTGTACACTGCACGTGTCCTGCATGGGAATAGGAGGGGTTCGATTAAGCTTCCTGTAAGGGTTGTACGAGGGCTTCGAATATGGTTCATGAGGTACTGCGAGGGATACTGCACAAACGGTTTAGGGTCTAGAGGATCTCACAAAAGGTCACAGTACTGTTGTTTTGGGGCTTCCTTTCCAAAACGAGATGGTAGGAAAAGCTGCGCCCTGGCTCACCCTCATTATTCTAGGGGTGTTGTGTGACCTAGGAAGTATCATGCGGAGCTCGCCAAGAACGAGGATTCCATCTACAAGTACTTGAACTTCGATCAGGTGGAGGATTATGTCGCGAAGGCTGACAAGGTCCAAATGTCTGAGTACTCCTAAACAGCAGGAGCTGTACATAGTGAGCCGATTGACAGCACCGCATGCTGAAATCAACGTGTCTAGACGCTGGTGACCGCTCTTTTCCTGCCAGCATGGCCGTCAGAGCAGCATGGTGTCTGTCCATTGTTGTACCATGAAATGCAGTGTTCCATTCAACCGCCCTGTGCTGGGAGCGTTACAGTGAAGCATGGGCAGCCGCAAAAGAAACATGCTCCGTGCTTCGCGTGCTTTTCGAACAGCAAGGTATCTTCTTGCAAGTTATATGCACATAGACTCACACATGCAGTGGGCGGATGAAGCAGATGCAGAACTAAGTGCCAAGATTATGTCTTCGCATCAGTAGCCTATCAGTAGTGACGGCTTGATGGAAACCTTGCGGTTGATGCGACAGGAGCAGAGTGTGAAACATGCGTTCCATAGCTAGTATTGTACCTCTACCGTGCGAGGCTTGGGTTGCCTTTCTACTATGGACCCCAAATGCTAGAGATTCGTCCGAGTTTAGTGGTGTCCTTGATTCCTGACTTTCGAGCTTTAAGCACGAAAGTCGCGTTATGCCCTCCTGTGGCTTTGCATAGCTTCAATCGAAACCAGATCCAAGGAGGAGCAGGAAGAGGACGAAGAGCCGATACCTTTTGCGGAAACCGAGCCTGGCCTGAGAGTGTTTGACTTTCGGAGCGCTAGCAGTGGGGAATGGCACGCTTTGCCATGAAATAGACGAACTTCGCGGTACGTACAGCACTGTCTCTTGCTTGCGACTTGTGGGGGGTCGGCAGGGCATTGAAACATGACACGCCAGTGTAGCACACACTTGTTTGTGCGAAGTGACAACTTCATATCTCACTTAAACACCGAATCGGTCAGGGGATTGACTCACCGATTCATGTCGAATGATTGTATACTCCGTGGCCATTTTGGCTCAAGCTGTTACAGCTTGAGCGAAATTTTGTTTCAGTCCCCTCGGATCACTCCTCGGTCATAGCCGCCCGGGCGGCCAGTACCCCGAGCACTACTACGACCGCTGCTGGCGGCCAGTACCTTGAGCACTACGGCTTCTCTGTCAGTTGTTGACAGTCTGAAGGAATCGCTCGAGGAATTCAGCCGCGAGCAAGTTCTCGAAGATTTTCAAGTCGAGAAACCCGAGGATGTGACGTGGGGAGCTTGGAACAGGCGACAATCCCGACAAATACGAAAGGCACTCGATCACATCGCCCAGTGTCGGACGGCGAACGACATTGTCAATCTTGCGGCGACTTTGCTGAAACCGCCCAACCTCGAGGCCTTCTTGTACCTGCACATCACCAACCGCGACGAGTCCGCGGAGCCGCTGACGGTGCCGTTCGAGATCGTCGAGGCTTCCCTACACCCCGACTCCGATCATGCACCCCTACCAGCTGACACCGATGCTGCTCTTCTTGTGCATGAGACCGATCTGCATAATCAGCATTTGGCAGACATTTTCGTGATGATTTTGACATGGAATTACATACTCCCGAACCCGCTGCCTCTAAAGCTCGAAAGCGGAACTTCGAAGGGCATCTCAAGCCCACTACTTCGATTACCATCGATTTGGATTAGCCAATTCGTAGCCATGGCACGTACCCGAGCCGACTCATGGTTCGATTTTCTCTGCGAGGGCACGTTGGTGAAGATGACGGCCCCTGTTCCTGAGTCGATGCTTAACGAGTACCCCGAAGTAGTCAGCGACACGGCCCAAGTACCCATCTCCGAGATACGACGACAGCTTTGTCCCCGCCTTCTCGAGAAGAAGAACTGTAACATGGCCAATTGTGGTTTTCTTCACCCCGATTTCCTCAACAAACAGTGGGTAGTGCCCAACCTCATATGCCACAAATGGTTCCAGGGATGCTGCGAGTACCACAATACGTGCTGGAATCAACATGGCCACACGTTCGACGAAGCTATGCGACAGGCTTTCGTCGTACAGCGACAGAATCGTCGAGGTGAACCACCTTACCATTACTCGTCGAAGAACGGAATCATCGAGCAGGTCAACCGAGCACAGGCTCGTGAGTGGATCATGGACTCGATGACCACTTTCCGTTCCGCCGAGATGCGCAAGTTCAACTTCGGCACAAACTTCCTTCGGTACTACGACTACGAATCGTGGGATAAATCTGAGGTTGCCCAACAACTACGACAAGAAATCGCGGATGGCCTGCATCGTCGAGGACGATCTCCCCGTCGAGTTCGCGAGGACTCGAGACCTCCGGCGACATGGGGACAACACCCCACTCCGACACGGGGAGCGATTTTCCCGACTTCGAGACCCCGATGGCCTCCTTCAGCGGCTCCCTCGTCAGCCCCCTCTACAGCAGCGCCATCGACAGCACCTCCGGCGGCTTTCCCATCTTCGGCACCTTCGACTACGCCGACTCCGCCGACGCCAAGGAGAACTTTCTTCCAGGTCAGCACGGACACGGACTCCGATGCACCCAGCTTCGGCCGTGAACCCCGAACTGCTTTCCGCCACGGCGATGGAGCAGCCAGGGGATCACAACGACCACTTTCTCCGGCGAGATTCCCGAAGAGATCTCCGTCGCCGGCGAAGAGATGGCTCGACTCTAAGACCCCGGTGATCGTCGAAATCCCGGATGAGATCGCCGCTTCGACACCAGCCACGACTCCGGCGGCCCCACCTACTACCACGACACCTCAGACGAGGCCGAGGTCGCCAGATCCTTGGCACGAGGACGATGATTCCGCGACACCACCACCGACTCCTCCGATCGTGGTTACTACAGCCAACTCTACGACATCGATGGACCCAAGGAGCTCTGGGCCGGTGGCCAATTCCGCGAGTGAATCCGAGTGGATCAACCCATCCTTTGGGGCTGCCGCTACTACGACTCTCGTGAGCGCCAAGACCAAGGCCATGCCCAAACGACCACACCCCGACGCCGACAGCTCCGCGGGGCTTGGAAGAGTCGTGCCTCCGAGATTCTCCGTCCACCCTGCTGTGGACTTGACACGAAATGACCCGAGGCAAGTCTTCCGGCCAGATACCAACGAGTCGGGGGCGGCCTCTTCCTCGACTATCGCGACCTCCTTGGGGAATCCTTACACGAGTGTGCCGGTCGCGGTTCAGCCACAACCACCACGACAGTCATGCCTCGAGAGATTCCGAGTGCAGTGGCGCGACTCGCAGGTGGTGGAGAAGGGGCGCACTTCGATCGACGATGTCCGATCCAACGCACCGTCATCACACGAGCCAGTGTTTGGCTTTCAAACACTGCGCCACTTCGACAACTTCCCGATGATGTCGGCGAATTTGCAAGCGATGACGCCGGTGGGTGGCCACAATGTCGCGATGTTGCCACCTGGCAATCACCCCTACTCCTCCTTCGCCTTCGACACTCCATGGGAGATCACGTACGATGGCATCATCTACATCGAACAGGTACTCCGATGCCCTACTTTCGGGAGCTACCTCACCCAATACGGCCTTTACATCGACCTCCCGATCCACACCCCGTAAGACGATGTACTGCAGGAACGGGTGTTGCTCCTGGGTGTCCCGAACAACTTCGTGGAACCCCGGACTACCTTGATCTACTCGATGGTGTGGCACAGCATCACTGCCTCTCTCTCCGACCTGAACCATACTTCGGTGGAAGATCGGATGAACCGACTCCGAATTTGGTGCCACACGGCGAGGAATCTCAACACCTTCGCGGCGCAGATGCCATACTTCGAGCCCATGCAGACCTTCTTTCGGGAGCAGGCCTCGGCGATCCTTTCATGCACTTCGAATATGCTCTCACCGGCGATGCGAAGTGCCTTCGCCCAACACGAGCGAATGCGATCAATGATAGCCGCGGAGCCGCCGGCTTTCATCCTGCGATTCCGCGAGAATGCGTGAGCCTTTACACGAGGCCTACCCGACCTTTAGGTCTCACGGTCTCCCCGTTTCCGCCTCGGCGATGTACGGGTGTTTCCGGATCAGTGACAGTTTCGGTAGAAGGGGACTTCCGCCTCGGCGATGCGTCCACCTGAGCCGTAGGTCTCGACCTCCCGAATGACTCGTTCATACGACGACAAGACCAAATGTGCTTGCCTGTAGGACATGTTACTCGGTTGCATCAGGCTCTACTAGTTGTAGTGGGGCCTGCTCTCTCCTTGGAGATTGCTTGGCTTCCGTAGACTTCGACCTCTCAAGCTCTACTCGTGTTACCCGAACCTCCCGATCCACCCGAAGTGATGGCACACTCTCGCCAGTCCCCGATTGAGTCGGATCCGATTGAACAGTTCCCCGAGACATCGGCGACTCAGCTCGATCCCATCGAGCAGTTTTCCCAAACGCCCGGCAGCAGCTCCGGAGCAGTTTTGCCGGCCGCTCGATACCTCGAGGGAGTCCACCCGGACACTGACGAGGGCCGAGCACTGAAATTACAACGAAGGCTCTACGATGACCATCACACCCAGGGAGCCTTGGAGGTCATCGCTTTCAGACGAGCCTCCGAACAGCTCGCGATGTCATCACTACGAAAGCAGTTCCCGAACTCGACAGACTCCGAGCTAGCGGCGATTTGGCGCCGACAACTTACCGGCGAGGAGGTCGACGAGAACGGCATGCCCATCGAGCTCATTGGTCGCGATGGGACATCGATCGAAGATCACCACAAACGCGATGTCGACCGAGTCGAGATGTACCTCAAGTACTTCAGCACTCCGGCCAACGACAAACTCCACGATGGATCCATCGATTGCACCTTTTGTGGTCTGCTGTTTCCGCCTTACTATCTCCTCTCGGTTAACCCCGACGGCCAGGACGACTGGCGCAACATCCATTACAGGTGTTGCTACCAGTGCGCAACCGGAGCCAACGAGGACTTCGTGTGGTACGCCGAGAACTCCGACCTGTCACCGGCCAAGATAGGACTACGAGGCAACCTTCGAGACCTTCCCTATAACCACAAGGACCGTCGACAGCTCTACGATCGCGACGACAACCACGAAGTCAAGCCTCCTGGGTGGCACATCGCGATCGAGCGAACGCATGGATTCTACTGCAAGGTCTTCTTCGACAACTACTGGGATACCGCGAAGTGTCGTTGGGTCCGGAAGCCGACATTCGTCCGCAAGAACTCGACCCGCTACGACACGATCAGCATCCCCGACTGGTACACGATCTGCCAGAAGGTCAACTCCGTGCGCAAGCAGATCAACCTCGAAACCTCGAGGAAGCGAGCCGCTTCGTGGAAGCAAATGTGCGAGGACATCGAACGCGAAAGGCCTGGCGACAGCAAGTCGAACATTCGACGCGAGGTACGAAGTCGAATACTACGACTCACCGACATTTTCGTCGCGGACCTCGCCAAGCTTGACTCCGACCAAAAGCAGCGAGTGTTCCAAGCCTTCGCCCAGTGGGAGGTCACGACCGTCGCTCGATCCATCGACCCGAACTGGAACGCCGATGAGTTCTGGAACATGGTTACCGCCGAGGCCCCACTCACCGATTGGTTGTTTCGTGTCTCCGACAGCATCGACCAACACTTCGTCTGTCGCTCGAAGGATTGCACCGCGGTGATACACAATCACCATTGGCTCCGACAGATCTCGTGGGACTATTCGATTTCCTCGCAACACGGTCGGTACTCTTGTCCGCGATGTTTGACCGCGTAT